GGATTAGCTTGGAGTTTCCCTGAATGAATGAATTTTGTAAATATTGCGTAAAAGTATGTTTGTATTTAAGTTGTTATCTTTGTTTATATACTTTTAGTTGTAGTTATATTATTTTACTGTTTAATTATATTATTTCACTTTAATAATTTTTGCTGTATGTATTGAGCCGTTATCTTGTTGGAAAACTGGGGTACCTTCAGACATGTCATTAAAAGTTAACTTTTGTTCCTCTACCAAATTTATATTTATATTCAGCTGAGTTTGCTCTTGATGAAAGAAATACCAAATTTCCTTTCTTTTTGTAACCAATTGATGCCCAAACCATAACTTTTCCTCCTCCATTTGGCTCCTTGATACAATTTTTTGTTCTTTTCTTAAGTCATGAAAATAATACGAAAATCCATCGGGCCCATCCAGATTGATTTTTTTTTTTTTTTTCGTTACAAAAGATGACTTTCTTCCACTCCCCGGTCCATGTCATCACATTACGAGCAAAGGACATCCGGGCTAATTTGTGTCGGGTACTCAAAACTGGCTTTATTTTCAATTTTTTTTTTTAACTATTGTTTTTTACTTTTTTAATAATCTAAGCAAAGAAGAATATTTCGTTTATCTCGTGATGTCAAAGCAGGGAGCCTCCCAGCTTTGAACGGATGGGTATCCCAGTAGAACGGTGGGTTCCATATGTCTCCCCGTGCCGAATAAACTTCGCGACCGATGAAAAACTCCGCTTGCTTCGGCGGGCTATTTCCCGACAACTCATCCCGTCCTTCAGTAGTGAAGAAATCAAACGGCGCTCTTCTTCGGAGAAACTTATTTTTTCCCATGGCTCACGTTCTTTTTAGGTCTATTTTGAAACAAATTCAACACTGTACTGCAGTAGAAATGATATTTTAACAATTTCAACTCTAGAGGATTGAGAAAATAGTAAACAAGTGTGTCTATCATTTTGACGCATATAAAATGTCAATATTTACTGATATTGAATTTAAATAACCCTCAAAGTCTGAGAAGGTTGTCCCCATTTCAATATCATAATTTATAGTTTAAACTGTGCTTAAAAAAATAACATCAATCAAAAATAAAGAAAAGTTTTTTTTAATTTCAATAGGCGTGACCAACATTTTGACACTGAGTGCACTTTATATTCACGCTTTCATTCATATAATTTTACTAAGTTAAATCACATTGTTTATAATTTTTATCTAAATATCATGTGACTTCCTCATTTTTCTATGTCGCTTTGTAACTTGTTCGTTCTAGACCTGAAGAAGAACTGCATAGTCAGGCTCGAAATATTGGCTTGAAATAAAATATTTTTTTCACCATTTTAGTCTTTTTATGACTGCCACATAGTGAGACGAGTTAGAGAAAACTCGTGACATCGGCTAAATCCTTTTTTTTTTAAATTGAGCTGTTCAATAAAAACAGTGAAAAATGTATATTGTGCCAACTAAAAATATTCTCGGATACTCAATGCCAACAGCACTAGGTATCAATAAAACATTTTATCTATTTTTTGGGATTTCTAAAAAAAAAATAAAAAAAATGAATTTAGACAGATTCAGATAGATATGTTTCCCCTTACTCGTCTCACTGTGCGCAACCCCGGACCATTCCCTCCCTCTAAAGTTGTTGTAGCATCTCATGTAGATATGCTATATCAGTTTTCTGTAGTTTTTCGTTTTTAAGTTCCACTGTTTACATTACACACACTTATGCGCTTATTTCCGTTGAAAACTCGGATTCGATATTATTCTAAATCGCAATACTTTCCCTTATTCTATATTTCATATATAAGTGAGTGAAAGTAAGATCGTAAAACACTCAAAAGACGTAGCATTTTATGTTTAAGAAAGTGTAAAACTATAAACGTGGTATTCCAAAAGCAGTACTTACGAGTTGAGTCCTTTTCATTCTAAATATTCGATATATATGTGATTATACCAAAAACATACATTTACTATAGTATTAATTAATTTTACTCTCTTGTTCCTATCTATTTTGGGTCTAATTTTCACTATGCAGTTTTCAAAGAGTCCATGCATTTTAGACCCGTCATTTTGGGCCTATTATCTGTGTGCCAAGACTATCTCTAATGCGTGGAGTCCCATTAACCGGATATAGTTCACGCAATTCAGCGTTGTGTACCCGCCTAAATTCTCCGGTTGAATCGTCCGAATATTCTGAGCAATACTTTATTTTCAAAAACGTTACGACGTTGTTCATCCCTTAATGTAAGCAACCACGTTTCGCATCCATAAAGAACCGTAGGAAGGATAATGGATTTGTGAATTCTAATTTTTAAAGAGGTGAGAACTAAGTAGTTTTGATAAAGAAAAATAACAAGCATTTTCCGCCTTCAACCTAACCTTAATATCCTCTTCAATTTCGTTTTTTCTAATTATCGTAGATCCTAGATACCCAAAAATTCTGTACGTGTTTAAACATATTCCCTTCTATATCAATATCATTGAAATTGTCGCTGTTTTTGCCGCTAACCATATATTTTGTCTTATTCGTATTTATCTCGAGTACTAGTTCTTTACCGGCTTACATCAATTGTTGTATTTAGTTTTATTGTTTCCATGTCTTCGCTTAAGAGGTCCAAATCATCAGCATACCCAAGCTCGGATACCCAGCCGCCAAAGGGGGTACCGAAAGGTAACTACAAATTAGATCCGGTAATTAAATCCTCTACTATAAAAAAAAAATCTAAATCTTATCAGTATTAATTAGCAAATGCCTAACTTATTGGTCTTTACACCATCATTTTTAAAAAGGGGCAAATCGCTCGATGAAGACGCTGGGATGTAGTAAAGATCCCGTAAGCACAAGAGGCAATACTTCCTAGCATTCTTGTTTTAGCTTATATCAGTACGTGTATTTGTTTTTATTATGCATTTTAGGTTTTTGTGATAAGTTATTCTTTCCTTATTTCTTTCTACAAAAAATACAATTTATATGACGATAGTATGTATGCCTGCTGACACATATTTCATAGACCCCCTGCTGAATAATTGATTGATAACAGTATCCTCGTCACATGTATTTTGTACACATTTATGGAAAGAATATATTTTGAAAGACATAATTAGTATTGAAACAAAAACAAAACGTTAGCATTATTACCAACGGTTGCTTGAATTCTTATCCATTCTATTAATCACTCTCAACAGAAACCAAAAAATGCTGAAAGAAAAATTGTAGTGAGAGTTGTTTGGGAACTGAAAATCGCTTTCTATTTAAATTGAAATATCTGAACGTAATGTCATTTTCAATACAATTTGCTATTGTGTGATATATTTTACATAAACTGGATTAAAAAGATGACATCAAATTCATTAATTTTAATTTGAACAGAAAATGATATTTTTAGTTCACTCTCATTAAAATAAAATAGTTATTTTAGTATTTCTTGGTGTCTGTTGTAAGTTCCACTATTTTCTACCCTATTATTTTTTTTTTTTTATCTTAGTCATTAATTACATAACTCACTGGGCTTATTTCTATTCGAATTTCGACTTGGAATTCTCGAGTATGAAGTAACTGACATTCATTTCATGGTTTAGGACAGTACCTTCTACAGACTTTCTAATTAAAGGTTTTCTACCTTAACATCTTCTGGTTATAAGAATATGCTGTTCTCAATCTTCGTATGAAGGCACGTTAAATAAGACATTGCATAGCATTCTTTAATAGGATTGGGGTTATTCCGGAAGTTATTTTTTAATTGATTAACTTTTTTAAAATGTAGGCTATTAATTTTGTTACAAATGGGGAGGTTTATATTTTTATTTCCTCTCTAGTTAGTTTGAGCCCGTGACTAGAGGGGCTCGCTCCATGGGCGGGAGATCAAATTGGTTAAGTTTAAAAATAATGAAAATATATCCATACTGTCCCACGACAGTGAATCCTAATGCTATTTACACAAATCATAGAAGCCAGCTCTATTCAATAAAAATAGTTTCTGAGCAGAATAGAGGGGGGAGGGAGGAACAAAATCAGAAACACAACGAGAAGTAATCTGAGAATAAAATCAACAAAAAAATATATAAAAGAAGGCAAGAACACAAAAGATATATAAAAAGGCTATGCTGGTTTGGCCATGTCAAAATCAAAGGGCAAAGCTTCCTACACAAAACATAATCAATAAAAGCTGAACTTCACTTCCAATAAATTCATCCCGAATTGAAGAAAGTTGCAGAAGATGCCTAGTCAAATCTTGGGCGCCAGCAATCCACATGATGCCCTTGATCATTTTATATTCATAATTCCATTCATATTAAATAAAGAATAATAATAGAAGCATTATCAAACTCATAGTACCAATACCGATATTACCAATCTTCCATTACCAATATTTCCTTCAATTAAACTTGAAAACCCTAATCAGCAAGAATGCCTATAATGCAGAGCCGAAATTAAGAATTTTTTTTAAGGTACAAGCATTATTTTACACTTCTTCCCAATACAAGTCAATTGTTTTATAACAGTGTTTTTGGTGATATATTTTAATATAAATGTCATCATATTATAACAAAAATTTTATTTTATTTTAGGTCAAAACAATCAAGACATTAAATTTAAGTGGAACCTACCAATCAAATAAATTAATAGTTGTGTGAAGATAATGCTATAAGTCATATTGAGTGATATGCTTATCTTCTAGTCCTTTGAAACCCTTTTGCCTTCTCTCTTCCCAATAAGCACTGCTGTATTCAATAGTAAACTTAATTTAACTTTGAAGCTCAACCAATCAATAATTAAAGCTTTCCAGATGGTGTATACCTTTTCACTTTTTTATTCTGATTCTAATTTGAATTGAATTGTGGGATGGGATCATGTTGTTATAAAATTGAAGTTGCCTTAATTTTACACAAGCTTGCACGTAATTACCAATTACAGTAGTAAATGAATCAGTTCTTTTAATGTAAAAATAAGAATGTAATCCATTGCTATTATATTTTCATTAATTTGTATTTCTTATATTTGTTTAGCCATACTGGATGAAGAGTAGAGAGTATTGGGATACTAATTTTGAAAATCGTTATAAACAAAAAAAACAAGAGTGGCCAAAGCTTCCATTAAAGGTAACCAATTGAATATTCTTTTTATGTTCTAAAAAAGTTATTACGAATTAATATTGTTAGATAGTCTATTATTGAATTAATATAGAATATTTTGAACTTCTTGTTTAAATAATTAATTTAGTCCGCATCAAGCTTTAAATATGGTTTTAATTTTCAAATTTTAATTATTGGTTTTAATTTTTAATTCTTAAATATAATAAATTTATCAAATCTTTCAGGTGATAGTGGTGCCACATTCTCACAATGATCCTGGTTGGCTTAAAACATTCGAAAGCTACTACCATTATCAGACTAGAAACATTTTGAACAATATGGCTGATAAGTTGACACTTTTTAAAAATATGACATTCATATGGTCTGAAGTTTCCTTTTTCTCACAGTGGTGGCAAAGGTAAGATCAAAATTTATTTTTCCTTAGAAATATTTACTATCCAAGGGTTCATTACTACACTAGTTGGTCCATGCAAATTATTTGCTCAATATATTGGTCATTGAACAAACGATAATGTAATATGAAAATAAGAAATGTGCTATATATATTTTAAGAGGAAGAAATTATTTTTTTTCTTTTTCTTTTAGTTCATTTTTATTGAAAATAACAAATCAAAACATACGAACAAAGTTTAATAGACTGTCTTTGCTAATAATGGTTTGCTTTCCATATTCATTATTTTATTTATTTATTTTTAATTTATGATCCTTTCAAATTAACGTGGGTATAATCTATCTTAAATTGTATAATATATGCATTAATGAACGGATGTAGTCAATCTCGCCAACTCCTTGAGTAATACTTTACTTTTTTTAATTTCTGTTTCCACTTTTGTAATATGTAAGGACCCCATTGTTGCTATAGCTTACTCGGAAAGAATCATAACCTTGGCTCAAAAATGGAAACTATTTTTGTATATTAATTTTCTGGAGTACCCTTGTTCCAATCAAATAGAAATTTTGAACATATTTAAAACTGTTAGCTTATTAATAAAGACAACTAAGTTAATTTTTTAAAAATAATTTTCATGTGATTCTAGCCCACAATTTCTTTTTGTTTATAACTTAAAGTAAGGTTTGATAAAATGATTATCTTGTTATTTCATCATTTCAGTGCTCATCCAAATAAGAAGAGACTTGTCAAGAGACTTTTAGAAGAAGGGAGATTAGAAATTACAACTGGTGGCTGGGTCATGACTGATGAAGCAAATTCACACATTTTTGCTATGGTTGATCAGCTCATTCAAGGTATAGTGGAGTGTTTTTTAAAATATTCAATATTTATCTCTTCATCATGGGCTTACGTAGAGGAGCTCGGAAGGCAGGTCATCTTTTAGGCATTCTATTCCTAATTTAATTATTTTTGCCCATTATTTTACAGTACAATATGAGGGGGGAGGGAGGGGAACTGCCTACACACCACCCAAGCGATCTTTACTTTGCACAAGAGTAGGGTTCTCTTTACAAAAGAATTAAATAACCAAAATTGAACATTGTAAAAATGTAAAGTCTCCTTCAAGGCTAAACACTGACTGACAGGACTCAGAAAGTGTGGGTGATGAATTATAGAAGGAGACATTTGATATGGATATAGACATGCACAGAGTGCAAGTCTCAGTATGCTTGAAGTAGAGCACGCTGGAAACTTATGGACTTTGTTACGTATTTTTGTCTTCCTTTTTTTAAACTATCAGTTAGCCTAAATCATTTTTGTCGTGTAGTATGGTCACCCTTGAAAGTCATCATATTTTCACTTCATTTTCTTTAATATAATTTTCCATCCAATTGTCCAATTTTGAGGTTACCAAGCAATTATTTATTTATGGAAGGTGTACTTCACTACTACAATCTTTCTTCTATGCTTAGGATTAATGTTAAGATTTTGTTACTACTATCTGTTTGTTGGTTCTGATTCCTGAAACTGAAGAATTATAAAATATTTAGTTCATAGTTCATATGAACAGAAAAGGAATCAACTAAATGGAGCAGTTAGGTGTCATTGTCAAACTAATTTGGGTGTCAAACATGTGATCCATTCAAACTAATTTATGAACAGGTAGGATTATTTATATTAAAAATAAATGTTTTTTAATAACTTTATACATTTAAAGTTTGTAAAAATCTTTAATTTAATTTTTATCATTAACATGTACAGCCATTGAATGATATATTTTATGTGGTATTTTAAGATATTTACCTGCTGTTGTTTTTTAAATAGAAATGTTATGAAAATAACCAATAAGGTCCACATAATAAAATCAAATTTTAAAACATGCTGTTAACAAAATTTTTTATTATTAAAATAAAAACTTAAGTAAGTATACTAGTAAAAATAAACAATCAAGATTTTATCATGAATATACCATTCTTTATACTGAATTGTCTCTTGAAGATGTCATTGCTAAAATAATATGTATTTCTAATAATAATCAATTATATATTCAAGTATTGGTATGGCCCCTATTCAATTTGTTTGATTTATGTATACTTTCTTTTTCATACTAGTGAATAAATCCATTTACTATTTTCTAGGGCATCAATGGGTGAAGAACAAGTTAGGAGTTTCTCCGCAGTCAGGCTGGTCAATAGACCCTTTTGGACATGGGGCTACCGTCCCATATCTGCTCTCAGCATCTGGCCTAGAATTGGGAACTGTCATTCAGAGGATTCATTATGCATGGAAGCAATGGCTTGCTGAACATGAAGCTGGTGACTTTATGTGGCGCCAAGGATGGGACACTAGAGGGCGCCATGATTTTCTCGTTCATAATCAACCTTTTGACATTTATTCGATCAAACATTCCTGTGGACCTCATCCACAAGTTTGTTTAAATTTTGACTTTAGGAAAATTGCTGGTGAATATACTGAATATTCACTTAGAGCTGTAGCAATCGATTTAGAAAATGTCAAACAAAAAGCTGAATTACTTTTAGAACAATATGGAAGGACGGGTTCTTTATTTCCCCATAATGTTGTTTTAATGCCTGTAGGGGATGATTTTCGATATGATCATGATATCGAATGGTTGCAGCAATACACAAATTATAAGCGTTTGTTTGATTACATAAATGAAAGAAAAAATATATACAATGCTGAAATAGTTTTTGGAACACCTGCAGATTATTTTAAAGAAATACGTAATCGAATGAGAGATTTCAAGACACTACGTGGTGATTTCTATGTGTATTCCGACATATTTTCAGAAGGAAGACCTGCTTATTGGAGTGGATATTTCACTACTCGTCCATATTGGAAAATTTTAGATAGAGAATTAGAAGCTGAATTGCGCTCAGCAGAAATATTATACACATTATCTTTGAATAAAGTGCGTAAAATGGGTTTCAATGGCACTCTGAAGATTTTAGAAAGAGATTATGAAAAATTGCAAAGTGCTAGGCAAAATCTTGCTCTATTCCAACACCATGATGCCATTACTGGAACATCTAAGGCTTTTGTAATGCACGATTATGCCCTTAAAATGTTCGAAGCTATTCAAGAATGTATATCTGTTCAAGGGTATGCATTACAAACTCTTGTGACTAAGCCTGAAGGCTTCGATCATTTTCCTGCATCAACAAGATTTATTCTACCTGATACTGACAGAGATCGTTACGAAACATTACCTTACAAAGTGCCATTGACCATTAAACGAGATAGACCACGAAGGTTAATTGTATTCAACTCATTGGCGCAAGCGAGATATGACATCATTAGAGTAAGAGTGAGAAGTCCGGAGGTAAGAGTCTTCGACTCTTCATCAAACCTTATAATAAGTCAAGTGAACCCAGTATGGAATTTTAGTGAACCTAAACTACCTCAAGAATCACAGCAAGAACTCAAAATGACTGATGAACTTTATGAAGTTATGTTTTCTGTACTTCTTCCTCCACTGTCAGTTTCAACTTTCCGCTTGGAGTTTTATCCTGGAAAAGAAGGAAGAGCGACAGTTTACTGTAAGAGCTGTGCAAAAAGTAACTTATTCGATATAAAAAACATACAACTGGGTGATATTCAACTGGAAAATCATAAGATTAAATTACTTGTAGATGGGCGTACTGGTTTCCTCAAGTCTGTTATGGATAAAGAAACTGGTCATACTACCCAATGTGCTATAGAATTTGCGGCTTACTCATCTGCCCAATTCCACAGTGGGGCCTATTTGTTCATGCCTGATCCTAATGCTCGAGATATTGAAAGGGATATATTAGAAGAATATAATAACCAACGGATGGTAATTGCGACTGGGCCCATTGCATCCACCTTGACTGTTGCCTATGGAAATCTTCTAGCTCATACTATACAAATATACCATGGTCAAACACCCTTGTCCCAAGGAATATTTATTGAGAATACAATAGACTTTGAATCTCCTCCCAAAAATAGAGAAACAGAGCTCTTCATGAGATTTGTTTCTGATCTGAACAATGGAGATCCTCCAGTATTTTTTACTGATCAAAATGGTTTTCAAACTCAAAAAAGAGTGAAAGTTGAAAGGATTGGAATCGAAGGGAATTATTTTCCTGTGACAACCCACACATACATCCAGGATGAAGAAAAACGATTAACATTGCTTGTTAATCATGCCCTAGGTGCAGCAGCCTGGCAACCTGGGTGGCTTGAAGTTATGCTAGATCGTAGAACCCTTTATGATGATTCCCGTGGTATGGGTGAAGGTGTCGTCGACAATAAGAAAACTCTATCCAAGTTTTGGCTACTTTTGGAGGATTCTACAAAAGAAACTGGTTATTCAAAGCCTAGCCTTCTTGCAAATTATCTTTCACTTGGGTTAATGTACCCCCCAAATGTTTTCGTTCTTGAAAGTGCTAATGATGAGGCCACTTCTAAAACTACTGAAAATAATTTATATGATATAGTGCCTCTTCTCAATCGTGACTTTCCTTGTGATGTTCACCTTTTGAATTTTAGAACTTTACAAGACAAAAGTTTTGATCATTTTCCATCGAATTCAGCTTTATTAGTTCTCCATAAACAGGGCTATACCTGTAGTATTGCAGCTAATATGAAAGAATGCATTCCTTCTAGTCCTGAGCAAGCAATCAGAGAAGGGACCACATTTAGTTCATTAAAAACATTAGTTTCTCAAACATATCTAACTGGTTTGAGCGAAATAAAAAAATTTACCTCTTTAGCAGAGGCAACATTAAGAGATATGGAGCTCATAACCCTCAATATCACATTCATTAATTAGTATACTAATGTAATTTTCATCTACATTTGACAAATTAAATTTATCTGAAATGACCAAATATTCATCTCTTTGATTTACTTTGAACATTACGAATTTACCTGTTAATTGAGATTTGCCATGTTTTATTTTTGAAGTAGTTTTTAAGAAACTCAGAAATTGTACAAACCTATTTGACGAAAAGATTTTTTTTTAATTTTGAACAAATTAAATTCAAATCATTGATGGATATACTCTGCGCGGATATATACTGGATATACTCAGTATGAACGCAATATTTTATCTAGTTTTTAAATAAGACCATTTATATGATCAAATTGTTACTATAAAATACTTTTCCTTTAATTTTTAGATGTTTAATTTTAAATTTTAATAAATATCGAAAGATTCCTATCGAATGGGTGTATAATGTTCAAATTTTTATGAAAAGTAATGTTTTTATATAAATAAACATAAGCATGCAATATGATGTTTTGTCACTTCCAACTATGGTATGACAATGAAGTGATAGAATCATGAAGAGAATTTTAAAGAGAAGAAGTGACATTATAAACAATTAAATATCATCAAGTATATAGTTAGCATGCTCTTCCTGTTCAAGCTGGAGCACATAAGTGTGTTAAACTCACAAAATATTAAGTGAATCTAACGTTATTTGTAAAATATTAAAGAGCCTATTGACTCTGATTATGTGAATTGTAATTCTATGATGTAAGTAAGTATGAGAAAATACAAATTATTGTGATTAGTATAATTTGAATTAAAATTGTTCTATACATATAAAAAAATAAGTATATATAAAATTTTTAAATTAATATATACTTAAGTGCAAACAAATATAATGTTAGAGGTTATATGTATTCATTACAAAATCAGAATAATATTTAATTATACATTTTTGTCATTTGAAACTATTTCTTTCTAGTTCTGTTTCATTGTAAATATTGTGTCCTCATGTTGTATGTATTAATATTCATTAAATGTTATTTTGTTTACATTGAGTGTTTTAATTTTTTTTATTATTACCATTATGATGGGTGATAAATATTCAGTGATAAAAAAACCATTAGTTATACATGAATCCTATATTTACATAATATAATTTCTCTATTATATAAAAAATGTTTTAGTGCCCGTGTAATATTTTATTTTACATATAAGGTGGAATGCTAACAGAACGCTGTGCTAGTACCGGATACTGCACTCTAATTCCATAACCCATCAATTGGTGCAATGGAGGTAAAACCAATATTTATTTTATTTGTGATGAAGTTTTGGCCTACTTTACTTAGTATCCATAGAGCACCTCTAAAGCATTAAACAAGTTTCTCTACTTTTGTTTACGGGTTCTGCACTGTACCGTTACAGAAGGCGCCAATGTTGTTACTTGTCTGATATCCTTCAAACGAACACAGGTGGATTCTATTATTTATTCACCTCGCTTGTCTTTCTCCTTTTGCTCTTTTTCATATTCATTCTACGATTATGTTTATAGTGCTATTTTTACTCATTGTATCTATAGATCTTAATCTCTTAATTTATATAATTTAATATTTCTATATGTATGGAAGGGGTTTTCATTACATCTTATTATTTTCTATTTCCTTTTATCATTTTCTTCCTGTAACTTAATATTCCTTTTCTTTGTTTCTCATTATTATTCTATGCTTATCTCATTTTCTCTGAACATATTACGCCAACTTTTAGCAACTACATCCTATTTATTGTTATCTCTAAATATTCCATCTCATTTCTTTATTTTATTTGTCATTTATTTTTTAATTTCATTAAATAGTTACGATTATTTAATTATTGCTTACTTCAGCATTCTATTACCTTTATTTTATAACTTCCTAAGTTTGTTCCGTAATTTCATGAGTTTCTAACTTTGGTAGTGTTGTTTTATATATCCTTACTTTACTACCGTTATTTTTTTAAGTTCCAGCTTTATTACCGTTACTGTATAACATTCTAAATTTATATATCACAAGGAGAGTACCTCCTGTCCGCCTAATAGCAGACCAATCCCCATTTTACAAATTATACAACTGTTAATTTAATTGTGCTACTCGTTGCTCAAATTGTCTAACTGTAGTTTACATGTATTCTTTAGATCAGATTGTATTACTTTTTATTAACATAAAATAAACTGAACGAAACCACAGTTTAGACAAATGTTAAATTTCTTTAAAAATCTATATTATACATTATTGCCAATTACTATTTCTATATAATTATAATTTTTATTGCCAATTTGTAACCATAAAATATATTCAACTTTTCCAGCTTCATATAAGCCCAAAATCAAATTGAGCCTTTTATTTCTAATATTATGATTGTACATAGTGCTTCCTCTTATATTTCATAATAATTATAATTATATCACAATATAAGTTTGTCCTATATAACCTCGTTATTTTGAAAATTTGGGATGTAGCTCACGCCAAACGGCTCAATATTTTGGAAGGCCATCTTTTTCTCGATTTTATGATCAAATTATCTAACGATACAAGTAGAAAGCAAATGTGTATTTACAAGTTTTTAGTAACTAATTAAATAGACAAAGTTTGCCACACCTCCAGATTGAAAATGCCCCAATTCCAAGAGTTTTAATAAATAAAATAGTTGTAGGTTAGGATTGAAACTATTTATGAAGTTTCAGGCGGATGTTAATAATTCGATAAAAAGGGATCTGTACCACAAACTAATATTTAAAGTTGTATGAATTTGTCTAAAATAGGTAGGAAAATTATGTGAAAACACCAATTTTTTTTTATGTATACATGTCATACTCCCAAAATGGCTGAATTTAATTCTTAAAATCTCATTCAGTTGCATACGCGAACTGATGAAGAGAAGCTAGTGGTAATCAATGGGGAATGTACAGGGAAGGATTCGGGTTGAAACCCTTAAAATAGTAAAATCATTGTGTTTTTTTATTGGACAATATTTGTTTATATAAATGATCTAAGCTTTGGCCTTCAAGAACCACAAAAACATTTCATGTAGGTAGTTTATTTTTTTTCCCCCTAAAGAGTAATGAACATAATTAAAATTAAATTCTGGATCCGCAACAGGTGAAAATAAATTACAGGATTAATTGTTCCTGAGAAGTTTAATCACCATCTTGCCATGTTTAACAGACACTTTTGTGGCTAGGCATACACTTTAGGTTTAAGTTATACTCATAACAGTATTTTCTCCACAGATCTAGCCCAGTCCCCAGAACTATACTGGTTTGAATTTCTCACCAATTAAAGAAATAATATTTGCGACTCTTGACAACATATAGTATTTTTCAATTGGTAGTTTTCCTCACATTTGTCTTCTAGTTAACTTTGTGGTAAAAATAATCTTAGTAAAGAGCAGATTAATTTTATTGATAAAAACTGTTTGAATTCTTTAACAAGGAAGTAAATTTTTAAATAATTATCACAGAGTGAATAAGTTGCTACAAAAATGCCAAATTTTTGTTTTCACAGCATAATAATATTAATATTCAGTTTAAATTCTTAGTCCCATGTCAATGTTGATTTTCATGTCAATTGTGACTAAATGAACAGAAACTAAATGGTTCGGACTTGAGTATAAACTTTATTACTACTAAAAATTTTATCTGTAAGCACTTAAATTAAAACTACAAAAATCTGACTTTTGTAAACTACTTACATTTGATACTTCAATTAATATAAAAAATGTAATATTTTCATTTTCTTGGTTAAGGTATGAAAAAATATTTATGTGTAACAACCACTGATTATAGCAACCAGCTTTCCTTGGGCCGTTGGCAGAGGTTATAAACCATATTCACTAAGTAAAGTTTTAAGATGCTAAAATTGTAAAGTGAATTTTTATTTCCAACAACAATACTATAATTAATATAACTGAATAGTTATAATAATGAAAATTTATAACATTAATTTTTTAACCCTAATTAAAATATTTAACTCCTATAGTTATTGTTTCTTTCATTGTATAGAATATTGTTAGGTCTGACACTGAATCCATTCATGGAACGCAAAATGTTTCCTCTTCTTCCTAGTATTCAATAATAAAGGACAGGAAATTTGGATGAAAACATGATAAGGTTAAAAAAATAAAAATGCTATTAAATGATTCATACAAATTTATAACTTTTTATTCAAATTCATCTAATGAGAAATGAATTTATTAAATAATAATTAGTTACAAAATATAACTTTTTGAGTTTAATTCATGAAGCGCACTTCACGTTCAACTTTATTAATGTAAATCAGGAATACTGTCAAATGGCATTTCAGTTTTGCATTCAAGAAGGCTGTAAGGACACTTATACCTGGCCTGAATAAACAAAATAAATAAACATAATATTATTAGTTTGAGTTCACTGTCCTCTCAAAATTGATAAACATTATAAAAAATGAAATAATTGGTATAAGAGGAATAATACATGTGGCTGGATACTGATAAAGATTAGAAAATAACAAATGGAGTTACCAGATGGAAATATGCATCGATGGGTAACCACATATTGTGTTTTATCCAAAAATGAAACAGAGGAGAAAATGATGACAGGAAAGCTCAACAAAAGGGAAACATACGGGACACAATGTTTGATCTATTCATCACTGCTGACTAGAGATGGTGAAAAAAAAAAACATTACGAGAACAATGGTAAAGAAATCAATCAGCAAAGAGGAATCAATCAACATATAAGCAACAAGTAATGAGACAAGGCGTCCTACCATGGACAATACTGAGAATCAGACATGCATCCTTCATTCATATTTACTTTCATACTAATAAGAGGACTGAAACCATCCCTCGGTGAGACACATAATATATCATTTATACTGAAACACACTAAACAACAAGTAAACTATACTCTGACACCAGACAAAACAAAGTAAAATAAAAACTTCCGTAAATTAACAATATATACAAAACAAGCCAAATGAAACTTCGTACAAGATACTTCAAACTATATACAAAACAACTGCAAAATAATACAAAATATTAAAAAAATATCTTGTAAGAGAAAATAAAAAAGATAAGAAGGTAAACAAAATAAAATTAAACTCCTTTAATGTATGAGTATCAAGTCTCCAATAAATAAAAGAAGATACATCTGTTATTAACATCAGTTTTCAAATACATTTAAATAGCCTCCAGTCAAAAGACTAATGAAAAAAAATAATACAAAAAATGAACATATATGTTATAGCAAATATAAAAAAAATAAAGAGGCATTTTATCCGGTATCTCAAAAAGTAGCAGAATGGGCAACAAACGAGCTTTTGATTGAGGCAGTTCTGTGAAAAGGGATATAAAGGTCCAGATCTTATGGTAAAGGAATGGATTGAGGACTTGAATTGGAGAAGATTATCGACATAAGAAGGAGAATGATTTTTGATGATTTGATAAAGGAATGTGCCCAGGAAATATTTTCTTCAGGAGGGAAAGAGCCACTGTAACTCAGAGTAGTGGTGCAAGACACAAGAGCGTCTCGGGGTCCCAATTACAAATCTTATGATTCTATTCATAAGTCTTTTTGGCCTATCATGGAACTCCACCGAGAGTCCATCATATACCATACAACTATAGCCAAAGTGGGGGATGAGGAGACGGGAAACCAAGAGTCTGCACACATGTTGCAGAAGGAAATGTGGGAAGTGATGAAAAGTTTGAGGGTGGAAATTGCTCATCGGAAGATGTGGGAAATATGGTGATTCCAGGAGAGGGTTTGATCAATATTAAAAAAACATAAACTTTAACAGAACAGAAGGTGATGGGTCGGTCATTTAGGTTTAGTATGGGAAAGTTGGTAGGCGATCTAAGGAAGGTCTTGGAACCAATGACAATAGCCTGAGTTTTAGCAACATTTAACCTTAATAAGTTTGCCAAGGCACTGATACAATCTAGGTCTTCTTGAATCGTGGCAAACGCTACTAATAACTCAGAAGGATTAAAGTAAAGGTATATTTGCAAGTCGTCTGCATAGATATATTATCATCAACTCTACATTTTATATAATTCATGCTATTAATTATTAATTATGTCAATAATGAACCACTTAGATAGATGCTAAATGTTGTAAAACAAATAAATAAAAAATTAAATTAAAAATATGAACTACTTTTAATAATTAGGCTTAGCGCTTATAACGCCATTACAATATCAATAACAAATCAACTTCATACCTTTTCATTTGTTTCTTGCCTTAATTTGTCAGCAGCTAAGCAACGTCTATGCAAACGATGCCCACAGGTTAAGGTATATATCTGTGGATGTATACTGTAGATATATGTGGTGTTCTTATCAAACTTCTCCTTACAAACACAACATCTGGAACTGGAAAGGAAGAAAAATAGGTTTAATCATTTTGGCAAATGTTAACCATTTAAAAAACACATTTTATCACAAAAGCTAATAATTAATTTAGCTACCATAATTTTAATTTACACAGGGTATCGTAAGTAGAGGGAAATATTTATAGGAGTGATAGTAGACCTCATAAGCTACAAAAAATTGCATATAAATAATGGACCAATTTTCAGCAGAAGAATAGGAATGAACTTTTGAGAATGTTTTTTGTTGAATAGGAAGCGATAACTAAAGAAATATTTAATTTAAGTAATTAATGATTGCTTCACTGTAAACTAGACAAAATTTACTTTTAATGTAAATAGAGTTTGTTACATAATATTACATGTAACTACTCCTTTTATGTCTGTTTTACTTATATTATTAAAAAATAAGATTAAATTGTACTCAGAATAGACTTTGATTATTATAATTGTATCCCTTTTTTCCCCTCCTAGCATGGTAACTTTTTCACCAAAGTGGAAACCCTGGAGGTGAGTAACAGTTCTAACGTGTGGCCGAAAAATAGAAAAAGATTGGGAGAAGAGCTAAGTCAAAGAAGTAGTATAAACTGGGCCCCTGCATAATAGTTCTGCCTGTAGGTCAAACAAATTCTAACAAAGCCTAACACTTGATCTCTTGTAATTTTTAAATGTTGTAATTTAAAGTAATAGTTTCCAAATCAAATCATTTTTTTCATTTTCCATTGAAGTTTTCAATAATATAAAAAATGCTCAAAATGTCAAAAAAACACCTCATTCTTTGACCCACAACACAAAGTTGACATAAAATAGTTCCTCATTTTCTGCCTTTGGATTCGTGTTCAGATACCTCAAAACATTCTGTTGAAGGGAAGATTTCGATGCAGAGCAATGTAATTTATAGAAGAGAATGGTTGGGGTGATCAGTCAAAAAAAAAAAAATAGTTAAAATAAATAATTTATAATTTCTCAATTTTGGTAATACTAAACCATAGATTTGGTTCAAATACAGATAGATAGCAAATGACCTAATTAAAAATTCCAGGTGATGACTTTTATTTCTAACCTGATGACATAGTGTATTTTTGCATTCACAATATGAACAACATTGAAATGTTATGCTAATGATATAAAATGAATTTTGTTTAACTACTGATCCAAATGATCTTGCTTGACCAAGCACAAAGGAGTAAAGAAACACATTATAAGGATGTAGAGTAAAAAGAAAAATAGACAGGTTTGATTTAAATGACACAATAGATCAGCAAAATGATCGATCACTTTAACCCAAATAAGGTGGAGCCAAAAGGAGGATTGTGTTTGGGTTAATCACTTGTAGGTATGTAACGATTTTTTGAAAAAACGGTAGGACAGATTTTTAAGTTCAATTGATTCATATCAATTCGGTGACCATGAGCGTTTTGAAATAATTAGGGAAAAACCACGAACAAATCACTATATGAAATTGTTTTAATCTATCCACTAAAAGGTATTTTACGATTTTTTGAGAGTACGGCTGGCTGGACTGAATTTTAAGTAAACTATTCAATGGATTCTTGTAAGTGTTTTGAATCGGTTTGAGCACAAAATACTGACAAATTATTGTATAAAATGAGTTTAAAGTGTCTGTTAAAGGTATGTAACAACTTATTAAGTGAATAGCTCAACCAATTTTTCATTGGTTTAATGTCGTATTATTATTATTATCTGTCAGTTTATGATTATACGTGTTGAACATAAATTGTCAAAACTTTAAAATCTAAAAACAAATAATTTAAAAAAAAACAAATTTGCTACAGAAATAACCCTAGCCATCCTAAAGGAATGGACTTGCATATCTACTTTAAATTATTAGGAAAATTGACGTCTACAAATATTTAAACTTGGTGTAGTAGTAGTTAGTTACCTTCCACTAAAATTTACAGCTACTGACAAGAAGATTTTGTCCCATGTACCAGAGCATGCCAATATCTGAAAGAGCCTTGAGTTTCATTAATATAAATACTATAATAATATTTATAAATGTCAATACTCAAACTTCAAATGTCAATAGTGCTGCTTGGAGGACATTAAAAAAATTGAAAAATCCCAAAAAGATGTGGAGATAGATAACTTCCCATTGATCAAAGAGCAGCAATGGGTGAATTACTTTGAAGAATTATTTCATGAGGAGCGACCCGAATTCGTATGGAACCAATCCGATGAAATAATATTAAATAAGGAAGATATACTGCCAGTCACAATCATAGAACTGGATTCAGCTCTCAAAGGAATGAAAAATAGAAAATCTCCTGGCCCTGGTTCTATTCCAATTGAATTAATTAAAGCAGGCCCGACCGAACTCAAAATGGCACTGGCAGAAAGTATGACACTTCTGTTAAATGGTGGAGAGATTCCTGAAGAATGGAAACAGGGTTATATCACTCCAGTTTTCAAAAAAGGCCAAAAGAAAGACGTTTCCAACTATAGAGGTATTACTGTTAGCAGCTCGCTGAGTAGATTATACGGCCGGATAATTAAAAGCAGAATTGAAAATGATTTAAAGGAAGAGATCAGCGAGGAACAGGCGGGTTTTCGAGCTGGAAGATCATGCACTGATCACATTTTTAGTCTCTCACAACTTATAGAAAAGAGGATGGCCCACGACCGTGAACTCCATATGATATTTGTAGATTTACACAAGGCCTATGATTCAGTACCTCTAGCGAAATTGTGGAAAGCTCTGGAAGCCACATCTATTAAGAGATACCTCATCAGAGCAATTCAAGAGCTCTATAAAAATATAACGGGGGCTATAAAAATAGGAGATAGAGTGTCTAGAAGCTTCTTCATTAACAAAGGATTGAAACAGGGCTGCTGCCTTTCACCCCTGATTTTCAACATTTATATAGAACAAGCCCTTAAAAACTGGAAAAGATCGTGCTGTGGAATGGGTGTTCAAATCGGGAATGATGTCATCTACAATTGCAGTATGCCGATGATCAAGTCATAATCGCATCGGATCCGGATGATGTTAACTATATGATGAGGAAGTTGCTAGACACGTATTCCAGATGGTCTGAAAATCAGTGAAAGTAAAACAGAGTATGTGGTTTTCAACACTCCAAATTTGCCCCTTGAAATTGATGACTGGACGCTAAATGTCAACCAGCAGTTCAAGTACCTCGGATACTGGTTATCTTCAAAGGATGGTAGTGAGGTTGATATCGAACATAAAATAAATAATGGGAAAAGAATAATAAGTTCGATAAATTCAACCCTATGGAGTAAAGAAATAAGATTAGAAACTAGAAAGAATATATACCATTCCTTTGTAGAAAGCGTAGCCACTTACGGATCAGAAGTCTGGACACTGACAAAAAAGATGGAAAATAAGTTGCTTTCCATGGAAATGGATTTCTGGAGAAGAAGCTGTGGTATATCCAGAATTGAGCGGATCCCAAACGCAGCTATTAGAGACAAGGTCGGATGTCAAAAGAACATCCTTCACCTGATCGGGACCAAACGGTTAAAGTGGTATGGCCACTTAATGCGGATGGATGAGAACCACTGGCCAAAGAAAATTTATAACTATATGCCACCTGAAAGAAGGAAGCGTGGAAGGCCAAAGAAGAAATGGATAGAGGACGTGGAGGAAAGCATGGCAGCCAGATGGCTTCGTGAAGGAGATTGGATGGACAGGGAGCAGTGGCTTTTGGGTGTTGGGGATATGACTCCTTAAGTTGTATAAAACCCAAATTAACAAACAAACAATACTCAAACAATCCACCAAAATGTTTAAGTAGAAATGGAAGTAAATTTCCTTAGGGTGGACAGAGTTGTTTCTTTAGTCGGGTTTTTAAAATAAAAAAAAATATATATATTTAGTTTGAACATGTTTAATCAGAAAGCCAAAGGCCAACTCATGCTGCACTAATTTAAAAAAATATTTTGTTCCTTTCCCTTATTCTATAATATTGAAGAATTTGCTAATATTTTAATTTATGTGAAAATTCAATCTGAGCTCGCCCTCAGGCTGTCAGCTAATCATGGTCGAGTAATTCAAAAGCAATAAGAAAATATCAATTAAGCTCTGTCACCTTCCTAATGATCTGATAGTAGATAAATACGAACCATGAAATATGTTTCATCAGCTATTATTTGTGGGAATAAAATTAAATTTAAAAAACACATAATTGATCTCCTTACCATAATGTTTCAGTCGATAATGAAGGAGGAATCGGCTTATAACATCTTAGACATGAGTAATTCTTTATTTCCTAAAATTAAAGAAATAAGTTAAATAAATACATTTTTTTTTTTTATTTGTAAGTTATTCTTAAATATAAATAAAACTCAGTATAAATATGTTAGCTCAGATTGGTTTGATATGGATAAGGCTTTTAGAAAAACTACCTATTGGTTACAACACAATGACTGTTCTAGATCAGGTTACGAGTTGTCTTAGGCGATCAACAACTTTGTTATTACGCCCTTGAGCTATTGTGTTATTTTTAATTTATCTTTACGACTGTATAAATTTACAATTATATTTGAAGGTTGCTACTATACTCATGTTTTGCATTAATTCTTCTATTTTATGGTACAATTCTGATTGTTTTAAAAGCTTTGTGATTTTTTCTATTGAATTTACTGAGCCTTTTAATACTAGTTCTAGACAATGGGGTATTTTGCTTTTTACGAAGGCTTGATGTGGTAATGTACAATCTTCTATTACATGCTCTATGGTACGCGGGGACTGACAAGTGTCACAATATAGTTGGGCCTCTTTTGCAGTTAAATGAAATGAATAAATGACTTCTATTTTCTTTTCAGAAGTATCAGAAATTATTTTTTAAAAATATAACCAACCAGCAGGCAAGGCATCAAGTTTATAAAGGAAAGATGTTTATCCATATAAAGCGAATTTTCAGAATAAGAGATTAATATACGAGGCGTATTCCAAAAGTAAGGTCCAGTGGCCAATATTTAACTGAAGGTAGGCCTAAATGAAGTTTGAGATATACAGGTTTATTATTTCAGGTCCATACATGATTATAACTTACCATGAATTTTAGCAGCTAAGGATCTTTTTACCAGCAAAAATCTAATCCCACCACGAACTTCACAACTGGTGGAACCTACCATTGTCTCGGAAATTGCAATCTGCCCTCACTAACTGGCAAATGACTACCAAATCAAACCAAAATTGCAGTACTTTTGCTAAAGAGTCGATAGACTGGGCTGCATGAAACTTCATTCATAACTACCATCAGTTAAAATATTGGCCAACAGAACTTACTTTGGAATACATCTAGTAAAAGAGCAAAACCTTAATAAGACACATAAAATTGCTAATAGAATAAAATGGAAAGATTTCTCCAACACAGAAGACTTAAATCTCTAAAGTACCGATGTTTCGTCAATTCAGTCACAATCGGGACAGAATAAACGAGAATTCATTAACATTCTAAAGAGGAACATACACCTTAAGTGGTATATTTCGGAATGTTCTTGTTTTTATTTTTTTTTATCCTGATTATGCTTGAATTGGTGGAACATTGAGTGATTAGTTGTTTACTGGAATTTTAGTTAAGATATGAAAGTCAAAAGATATGAGATTATTAGGTAATTTTAGACTTTTTTTTATGTTCTTATAAGTTCAGGATGTGCAGTCAAAAAATTCTGTTCACATTCACATCCTGACCCTTTTTCATCCTTACAATTGCAATAGTCAGTTATGTATCCATCTCTAAACTTGAAGGCATAAATACGTCAAAATACTGCAAAAAAATTGGAATCCATTGAACCGTGTGTCCTTTATAAATTAATGTAAAATCAGTGGGCAATATTATATTAAAAAATATGGTGAGGTGCATGCATCACATAACTTTCACTTACCACCATTTTAGAAGAAATAGGTATTTACAGACAAACAGAAGAGAAACTAAAAATCACAGAAGGTACAAAATAATTTTTGCAGGGGACTTTAAAATGTTGACAAATTTTAGTTAAAAATTAAAATTGGAAAAATTTCACAATCACAATACTATCCCTTACTGCATATTACATAATAGGCAAGTGAAAGCAAAAAAAATTAATTACCATGTTTTTCCTGCCCGTCGAATAGTGATACATAGAAGTTAAACTAACAATATGAAAGCCCTGGACATAGGGGTACCGGGTATCTGTAAAGGGAGAGGATCGGCAAAGATCAGGCGCTCTCGACTAAATAGCTTACCGTATAGCTTCCTACCCTTATTTCCCCTTTTGTTATCAATCAATTTTCTTCATTCACTATATTTAACCATTTTTTATAGCAGGTTCAAATGTGAAATGGTCAATTATTTGAAATTAAAAAAATTAAAGGTACTTTAGAAGAAGGCATTTTGAAAAATCTGCATTTAAGCCCTGTTATGTTGCATAAATGAAGATAAAATCTACCTTAAATTAAAAATAACTTAATATTACACTGACAAAGGGAGCTTAATCAAAATAGTTATAGCTATTTTCGAGCGAATAGTAAAAATGTGTTAAATCTATGATATAAAGTACCACTTCCGATTTGCCGATTTTGATGAAAAAGTTCTGTAACATCTCAGGCATATACAAACCTTAAATACAAAATATCAGTTTCGTATGACTTCGTTTTTGAGCTACACTGTTCACACAGATCATTTTGCAGGACTTAATTATTTGGACTCAGGAGACCTCAAAATGTGCATATTTGTTGAAAACTCAGATTAAACAATTTTCACAATCACAATAGTTACTCTTACTATATATTTCATAGAGAGGGGATGCCTTCAGGGATCAGTCCTTGGTCCGACTCTATGGAAGCTAGTGTTTGATGAGTTGCTAGGTGTGCTCGAAAATGAGAGGTTCCCTGCTACGGCTTACGTCGATGACTTGGCGGCAGTAGTAGCGTCAAACAGCAGAGCCGGAATAAAGCTACAAGCAGAGCGGTGCGCCAATCTGGTTGGGCAATGGTGTGAGGGGATGAAGTTACGAATGGCCGCATCAAAGACCCAGGCGATCCTGCTGAAGGGAAAGACCGATAAGGCACACCCTATCAATCTGTGTATACAGGGAACGAGAATACATCCAAGTGAGGTGGTCACCTACCTTGACATAAGGTTTGGAAGAGGATTTAATATGACCCCTCACTTGGACTACTTAGGAAGTAGGGTGGCCCTAGCCTTGAATGAACTTAGTCGCCTAGGGGGTGCATTTTGGGGACTCAGATACCCAGCTACGAGGATCATTTACGATGGAATGATAGTGGGTATTCTGAGGTACGCCTCTCCTGCGTGGTCTCAGAATCTCTCACACCGTCAGAAACGCAGATTGGCGACAATTCAACATACGGCTCTGTTGCGAGTCACAAAATCATACCGAAGTGTGTCTCACGAGGCGGTGCAGATCTTAGCAGGAGAGGGGTACCTCTCGACCTTTTCCTGCGAGAAGACTCGCTAATATTTAAGTTAAAAAGAGAAGGCTCAGCAGGTCTTCCGGAGAATATCTGGGTGAGGATTGCAGAAGACCCAAGAAAATGGAAGAGGATTATCCGGGAGGATACCATAGATGAGTGGAATCAGCGGTGGGTAACAACCTTGAAAGGAGCAACTTTAAGAAAATATTTCCCCACCGTCCGAAGTCGCTTGAAAGCTAAGTGGGTTCTCCCGGACTACTGGGTCTCTCAATTCCTTACTGGGCATGGGGGTTTCTGCTTTAAGTTACATAGTTTTGGAAAAGACATAGATCCCCTATGCCCCACTTGCGGAGTACCGGAGACGGCTGATCATATTATCATCAACTACACCGCCTTTGATGGACTAAGGGCCGAAATGATAAGAAAAATGGGAATCTATGGCCTCACGGAGGATGAATTTCCCAAGTTAGTGACGGAGCAGAACTACCCGTATTACAAAGATTTTGTGTACGGGTGGAAAGCTGCTCTGGGACCCTCCCACTTTAATCTGGGAAGAGAACCTGCTAGTAGAAGGCCGCCAGACTAATATAGTGAAAATAATGAAAAAAGAAGATATTTGAAAAAACAAAACAAAACAAAATTAATTTGTGGTTTAATAGCAGGAATGGCATGCACGTGTGTGATATGGCATCCCTAGTGTGTGATATGCAAAATCCCGCGTAGCCGAAAGGCAAGGAAGGGAGGCATAAATAAATAAATAAATATAGGTAAGTAAAAGTAAAAATATATGAGCTAGGTAATACAATGAAATATACTTACTAGTGATATACATTACTGTAAAACTGCTTTATAAATTCTAAATGAGATAATAGAATAAGATACATTATCAATACAGGACACACCCATCGATCTGAGAGCCCATTTTAGGAATCAAGCACCATTTATTCAGTAATAGGTATAAATACATCCAGAGTATTGCTCATTTTTTTTTTTTAATTTGACACAGTAATGCTCTATTATTTGGTGAGTTCAAACCTATGGTTTTTTTCAGGCTCACATGTTTTTTTTTTTAATTTGTTTTTCAACTGAAAAATGTCTATAACTCTAATGATTTTGCAGATAACAACCATAATTAAATATAAAATTATGATAATGATGTGCTCTACAGTATTCTGTCTAGCAGAACACCACCTAAGATGTGAGGAAAATGATTGAAAAAATTTCATGAAAATTGACACAAAACAAGACTTTTAGCACTTTAAAACTGTATTGATGAAAAGAGAATCACGCAGAGTTTGAGACATTTTCATAAAACTTTTGTTTTTGGTCAAATGTAAATTAGAAATAGTCGTAAAGAAAAAATTGTGAGCCTGAAAAAAATCTTAACCATAGTTTTTAACTCACTAAATAAGAAAGAATAATTAGAAAAAAAAAACTGTTGAGCAAAAGAATTAATTCAAATTGGGTGATTTCAAATGGCAATCCATTTACTAAGTAAGGGTCGATACCCTTAGTAGTAACAATTATCTTGAAAAATAGTCCCAGATTACCAGTCTGCTTTAACCAGTGAAAAATGTGCAGGACAGAAGTTATTATGAATTGAATGGTATGTATTTAAGTGGTTATTATAGCACCAACCTTCTCAAAAATTAGAAATAAAATGTATTAAAAGTACTTACAGAAACTGGACAGCGAATAAGTTTTTCATATAAACAAGAATCGTGTACTGCATGACCACATAAAATAGCGATGATGGGAGATGAATCTTTTAGACATATGAAGCACCTAAACAATATAGGATACATAATAAACAATTATAAAAAGAGAACAATACAGAAATCTTTTTATTTTTAATGTTTTAGGTCATTTTCTCTATGCCTGAAAAGAGTGTTCATTCGGAAGGAGCAGATTTCGACCAAAAATATTGATTAAACTGAATTAGTCTCAAGTTTTGCTTAAATAGTTGAAAAAATAAAAAAAATGTTTTATATAGAACCATCTAAATGAAGACCCTTTCTGTCTAGTCATTTTGTTCTTTTTGTTGTTCCACATAAATTTTGAATTTTATTCAGTTAATGATGGATCTCATATATTCTTGATCATGTGCCCATCATGTTTATGAAACAAGCATGTGTAACTCAAATTTAACTCACAAGGAGAGGATAAAGTCTGTGGGATCACTGATTTCTACAAAAGTTTTTTGGTGATACTACATCGAAAAATATTAGACACATATCCCAGCGTTCATTCCAATGGGCCGCAATAGCCGAGAAAAGAAAAATTTTATACGATTTCAAACAAAAGTAATGTTATTTATTTTTACCTTTGCTTTGTCCCTTTTTTAGAGTATTATATATTAATCAATTTCTTCTTCTTTTTTTTTTTCGTATAGGATAAGAAAAAAATATTGACTATTGTAATAAATGAGTTGTAATGTATCATAAATTACAGAAACCGAAAGGCGCTTCTAGTAAAACAGGGCAAATAAATTTTTGTTATGAAAAAGCTAGTTAGATTTGTTTTCAGTATTCTTTGAAAAACTCTTCAATACGAATTCTTATAGAAATAATAAATTACAAAATTTAATACTTGATTTGCTTAGAGGAGTTTTTTTTGGCCGATAATTAAAGTATTCGTAATTGTGTGTAAATGGTTGACTGTCGTGAATAATGAAGAGAAGGATGGTTGGTGTGATCAGTCAGGAATAAGAAGGGAAAATAAATAATAATATTTATTTTAACATTTGCCGACGTTTTGACCTGAAGTTCAGGCCTTCATCAGGACTAAGAAAAGAACCAGATAACAAGGTATGAGTCTAATAACATATAGGTAGAATAAACTTAATATTATTAAATACGATATCATTTACCGCATTCTGTGTTCTACCCCCAATTGTTTTTCATCGTATATTGGTGAAACCAAAATACTTCTAAAAGACCGCATCACCCAACATAAATATTCTGTATCCTCTCGTAATTTTACCGCCTCCAAATTATCCAAACATTCTATCTCCCTCAATCATACATTTGATTTCAACAAAACTTCCATCCTTGCCTCCGTACTTAACCATGACAAACGACTCATTTCGGAAACCCTCCACATCCAACTCCAACCTAAGACAGTGAATCTAAAAACAAACAAAACTTATCCTTAGCCTATTCCCAAATTCTGAATTTATTAAAACATCCACAGCTATATCCTTTTCCTTTTTGCTGACTTCCTTAATTTTTTTTTTAATGTATATATGTCTATATATATGTATGTGTGTATGTATATATGTATGTATGTATGTATGTGTGAATATATGTATATATACGTGCGTGTGTGTGTGTGTGTGTGTGTGTGTGTGTGTGTGTGTGTGTGTGTGTGTGTGTGTGTGTGTGTGTGTGTGTGTGTGTGTGTGTGTGTGTGTGTGTGTGTGTCTATATATATGTATGTGTGTATGTATATATGTATGTATGTATGTATGTGTGAATATATGTATATATATACGTGTGTGTGCGTGTGCGCGTGTGTGTGTGTGTGTGTGTATAAATAGGATATGTATTAATTTCAATTATTCTGCATTATTACTTAACAGTTATTATCTCTGTTTTATTCCTTCTCCAGATTATTTCCATCCTCTTTCTATTAAACTTTTGTTTAATTATTCATAATATTTATGAGTAATATATCTCTCGTCCATTATTTATGCTTCCGATACTTTCGTTCAAACTTCGTCAGACAACTGTTAGAGATGACGCCACAATACATATCATTTCTCCCCTCTCCCTTGCTACCACATCTTCATTGTACTCCAGCAATCTTTTTGGAGCAGGTTGGTTTTCCTTTTTGTTTTTTCTTTCTTATTTCAGCCTTCTCGTTTTTTTTTTCCTCCTTCCTTTCATTCCTTTTCTCTGTTTTAACTCTTTATTATATTATATGTTGTCAGTACATTTTGATAGACTTTAAAATATCTCAATTTTTTAACTATTCTATTTGCAATATCTTAATTTTACTATTTATTTTCATTTCTTATATAACTTCATATCCCTTTTTTCTGTTTTACATTTTATTCTAAGATTACCATTTTAATACTTATGTCACCTTTTTTTATTATGTTTATTTCATCATTCCACACTTTGTAACAGTTATTATTATTTGTTACTTAGTTCTTACTATTGTCATTACTCTACCCACTTCATTTTACTTTAATTTTTTTTTATCTACATTATTCATGTTTCTCACACCTTGTTATCTGATTCTTTTCTTAGCCCTGATGAAGGGCTGAACTTCAGGTCGAAATCAGCAAATGTTAAAATAAATATTATTATTTATTTTGCCTTCTTATTTCTGACTGATCACCCCAACCATCCTTCTCTTCATTAAAGTATTCATAAATTCTCAGGATTTTCTCCAAATTCGATGTTAGTACAACTGTTGGAAAGCTGAATTACTACTCTTCCAGCCCACATTGATAACTTTTAGAATTCATTCCTTTTTAAATTAAAAATTAAGAATAATTCCCTTATAATTTTTATTTTTTATCTTTGTTTCTAATTTGTTTACTGATTTCATTTTTGTGACATTTCGTGTATCAAAATTATTTACTATAGATACCTGACGGTTATTAATAAATATTATATTTAACAGACAGTTACAGTATGGGTACAATTTGGAACAACCAACTTTTCAGGGAGAAAATATTTTTTTAGGGAGAAACAAAGTTGATATCCCTTTTTTCGTACCTCAAAAACCCTTGAATATAAATTTGTATGGCAATAGAAAAATTTAAATTTGCTACACGAAATTTTTGCCTAGGCTGGACCATTCCAAATTTTGTACACGAAATGGTGTAAGCCCGACATTTGTAAACAAATTAAAAATATAAAATAAAAACAGTTAAGAAGTTTTTTTTTAATTTCTAGCTTGAAAACAAATGTAATCTAACAGTCATTGATGTCAGTTGAAAGAGCATTAATTCAGCTTTCCAACAGTTATATTAAACTTGAATTTAAAGAAAATCCTGAGGAGTTATGAATTCTTTAGCTGACCTGACGGCTGGAAAAAAATTCATTCAAGAATTCAAGTACTAAAGATTGTATTTTTTTATTTATGTAACAATTCGTATTTAAGAGTTTTAAAGGGTCCTAAAAACAAATCTAATTTGCTTTTTTGTGACAAAAATTACTATCAACAGAAAAACTATCAACTATTGTATTAAATGAGTTATAATGTATCATAAATTACAAAAACTACTTTACTGGAAGCACTTTTTGTAATTTACGATACATTATAACTCATTTAATACAATAGTTGATAGTCTTTCTTATTCTGCACAAAAAAACAAAATGATTGATATATAGCAACCAAGAAATCCAGGAAAAATCAAATAACATAAATATGGAAGAGTTGTTGGTTGGGGTGTTCAATCAAAAATACAAATTAAAAATAAATAAATGATATTAATTTATATGATTGCCGATGCTTCGGCTCAAAGTTTAGGCCTTCATCAGAGCTAAGGAAAGATCAGATAGCAATGGGTATGAGAAAATATTAATATTAAAAAGAAAAAAATAATATGCAGGTGAAAGGTATAGTCTAATAACATGTAGGTAGAATAAACTTAACATTATTAAATAAGTAGAGAGGTAGAAATATGTAATATAAATAAAGGAAATATAAAATAACGATAACAAAGTTAGTAATAGAAAGTAGTTGAACCAAAGTTAAGATATATAACATGATGGTAAGTGAGGAACCTATGAAAAAAAAAATAACATTAACAGAGAGGAAGTTGTGAAATAAATAATAACAAATTTGGGAATAATGAATGAAATCAGATAACAAAATGAAATAAAAAATTAATCAACAAAGAAATGTAATGGATATTATGAGATAAAAACATAGGTGTTAGATATAGAATAAATAGGGTGACGTAGTTGCTAAAATATGTCTTAGAATGCTAAAAAGGAGTGAGATTGATATAGAATAAAATGTGGAACAGAGAAAAGGAATATTAAGAAAATAATAGATGTAGATAGAAAAACTAAGATATTGTAAAATATATCAAAACATACTGCTGACTAGATAGAAGAGAAGTAAAAAGTTAAAATTAAGTAAATTATGAAAATAAGATGTAGTGAGTAAATGTATCGATATACACAAAATAAAGGCAGAGATATGGAAAAGAAATTAACAAAAAAAAGAGAAATGAGGAGAATAATAAGATAAAAGAAGACAAGACTGATCTCAGGAAAGGTTCCCATAAAATAAGATTATTTGGAAAGGAACTGGTAGACCTTATGTAGCACCCTCTGCAACAGTTAGCAGAAATAAGTGAAGTAAAAAACAGAAACTTATAAAATGGTTGAGAGGTTAGTACTTGTGAATCGCCTATCTGCCAATGTTTATAACCTCAACACTGATAATTGTGATAAGGCACTGATAATCCCTATCTTCATATGAAATTCAAAAACACAAAAACAAATGTAATAATAACAAAACACTTTTATTTTACAACATATACATATATATGTATTAAAATTTATCAAATTTTATATATATATATATATATATATATATATATATATATATATATATATATATATATATAATAAGAAATATAAATAACAAAACACTTTCATTTGATTTATTTTGGAAGGCAAAATAGCTTAATGCTCCTTAATCCTTGTTAGCCGGTTCAATCCTACTGCGGTGCTCTTAAACGAGTGCCGAGGCAGGACGACACTGTTTACTTTAAACAAATTAGAGTGTTTCAAGCAGCAACACGGAATAATGGAACAGAACTTTGACCTTGTTTCTATTTTGTTGGTTTTCGGAATACAAGGTAATGATCAATAAGGACAGGCAGGGGCCATGGTATTGCAACGTTAGAGGTGGAATTCTTGAATCGTCGCAAGACGCACTAGAGCGAAAGCATTTGCCAACAATAAACGCACAATAAATGCAATGATACATCTGTTCGATAGTTTCAGCTGCTCTTTGCCCCACTGTGTAGTCAAATTATGAGACCACCCACATATTAATTTTTAAAGTGGTTAAAAAGGTAATTCTCCACTCTTCTAACCATGGCCCTTTTCTTATAGATAGGTTTTTCTTACAACTCTTACGAAAGCATCCCCATTTTGTCTTCCCTTCGAACTTCATTTCATGACCTTCACCACAATATTTCATCTTCGCAATTATTCCGGCGTCTTGAAAATATTTGATAGCCTCTTTTTCTGAAGATGACAATTTCCACAATGTAACAAGTGTCCACAACATCCATTTCAACAACGCATGTTCAATCAATAAAGGCACACGCAACAGCTTACACTACTAGATAAAAAGGCAGGTTATGTACCGTAATATAAAATAATAAGGTAACTTAAGATAAGATAAGAAGGGAGGTCTACCAGAGACCACATAGTTCACAAGTACCGAGAGGGTTTATTGTAGATAAATGTTATGTGCTTACTGTTTTATAATAAATTGTAGGTGCTTACTTGTGCTTTAGACTGAACACCCCAACAACCAACTTTACTTCAATTTTTCACCATGGTAAATCATCAATCTGTAAATAATGTACTAAAAGTTAATTTTAATTAATTCTTTTGGCGGGAATAGGTGAATAGCCTTCCGCTTTTATATCGGGGAACTAGGTTATTTACACTCGTGATTATTAAACAAAATCCTGGCACTGGATATAGACTTTTTGAGGGTGTTTAAATATTTTTATGAATTCGGGAATCTAATACCTTTTGTGACATTGAGTGAGAAGAAACAATTTGAATATATATTTGAATTGTGGGACTTAGTAAATACACTTTGAATGAATTGACACGCCTGGTTTGTTATTCTTCAGTTGTGAGGCATATAGGACAACTAAATAAAATGACTTTTCACTCCTGTATAATAAAACAAACAATTTATTTTGACAACTGTAATAAATTAATGTATAAAAGTCGTATAACTGTAGGCTTAATATTCTTAGTCTTCAATGTAGTAAGCCTCTCTTCCCAGATGACGTATTCGCGTCTTCGTGTCCAGGCCTCAAGTGCTCTTCTCGGCGTCCTTCTGCCAGCTGTTGCTAGCTACCTGCTCTGACCTTTTTCTAGCGTCCTTCTTCATCGATTGTTTATCGATATGAGACTTTTCCATGAATAATTTGTCCACTGTATAATTGAGTACAATTCATCGTGCAACCTCACATTCCTATACATTCCTTCTCATTCCCTCACCCAATGTCACATAAAGGAGTAAATACTGGGGGCTATCTGCTACAAATCCATTATTATAACATAAATTTTGTATGAAATTGTATTATTTTTTTTTCCTATGCTCTTAAGGCCCATTGGAATGAATGCCTAGATATATGTCAATTTTTTTCAACGTAGCATCACCAAAACAAATTTGGTTGAAATCAGTGACCCACAGACTGTATCCTCTCCTTGTCAGCTCAAATGATGGGGCATAAACTATTGAATGAATTTATTTAAGTTATTAATTATTAGTGATATAAGGTCAATCCATTTCATATCACTCAGACCATGTTGTTTGGGATTTTTTTTACAATTTGTTCCATATCATTTGATGAGTTCAGAACAATGGTTAGTGCTTTTTATTTTGTAATAACAAATTAACTATACAGGCAGAAGGACTAGAAAGAAGGAGCTTTAAAAGAATACTGCTTCAAGATTTACAATGACTTTAAATTTTGTTAACTTTCATGAATGTTACAATCCAAAATTAATTTAATAATCAAAGGATTGAAAGTAAAAACATGTTTGCAACATCATTAGAGTAAAATAGTTACACTATTCATTATGCGCTTGATTAATTTTCTTACATAGTTTTATAATATAATTTTAAAAATTCCTGATATTTCTCAAGAGAGAGCTAATTAATGACAAATAAATTGATTATGACTCTCACCTATTTAGGCTTTTCTTCTTTTTATCTTCTTCGCAGGAAAGAGGAGTATCATTATTTTTAGAGATGTTAAAAATGAATAAAAACAGTCCTAGAAAATAAATAACTATATAATGCCATAACAGCATTTATATGAAAATAATACTTTAAAAAAAATTATAATTAAACATTATGTATCATGGCATGAAGGGTATTCACACAACTTGTGATACATAGTTAATGAGATAACATGCTTAACAAACTTGTGATAAATAGGTAATGAGATAACATGTTTAACAATCAGTATGAATCTGAATACAAAATAAACACCCGCTCTGTATTAGCCTGCTGAAATTATCAGTTTTAGTAAATTGAAACCTTAACTTGTGATAACCAGTTTATTTTAATGTTTAAAAGATTCTCTTTTATTTGAATATTGGTTACTTCCCATTGAGTGGCAATCTTAATTTATAAAGAATTGAAAAAATTATGAAAAGCATTGACCTTGAACTTCAATGAATTTTCCATAATTGTGGATGAGATGAGTTTTCTGTCCTATTTCAGCCAACATTTTCCGGATTCCTTCTTCATTATTTTTTTACTTTCTATTTGACTTTTTTAAAATTAATTTATTAATGAGCCACTCTCTCCGGCCTGTTTGAAAATTTAGGTGTTTGCATTAGTGTGATGTTAGGCAACGAGTTAGCACTTTCGACTTTATACAGACTGTGGTCATTAGAACTTGTGCCGCTTTCATAAATAACAAGAAAGGTGATTATAATGTTTTTATATCAGTCTTATTGCTTTTGTTCTAAGTCGGATGGACTCAAGTGTTTATAGAGACTTCTCTACAAGGGAGCAGACAGGGATAAGTAAGTTGTCAAATAATACAGACCTATATATATATATATATATATATATATATATATATATATATATATATATAGGAAACTAGCAGTGTGACATGGTTCTAACTACAGACAACTTTTGAAAGTACTTGATTTGAGAAGGTTCAAACTGCTATACTTTGTAGCTGTACTTGATCCCCACATATATTATTACAGTAAGGCTCGAAATCAGTTTTGTACCAAATATAAGCTCCTGTCATGCTCAAATACCATGAATGGTGTACCGCTGGATTCAGAATTTCACAGGGGTTTAGTGAATCATACTCTCCGCTTGTTTTTCTTTCTAAAATAAATAAAGTCAATACAAAAATTTTGCTAGGCTTCAATATTGGAATGCTGGTAAGTCTGTAGATTGATACGGGATAAATTGGGCTTTGAACATTTTGATGTGTACAGCAAGACCCAGATAGTTCCGTCAGAATATATATAAGCCCAAAAATGTACTATTTTCAGATAATCCAAGGCAAAGAGTTCGCATCCACACAACCTTACGTTAAATGTAGTACTGTCATGGAATACATGTTTCATTTCGTCGTCTTGAGGACCCTATGACCGAGAGAGGAGTTTATATTATTTATCGAAGGTGTTTTTTATCGGTAAGCCATATCATTGTTAATCCTTCACCAAATCCCAAGATTGAGCCACCAATTTTGAAGGTTTCTTAATCCTTCAGATGGGCAAAATAGTCCAATGACCCCGAAAATCCAGGCAAAAAAGTTATGAAAGAGAAGAAACTTTATTTGCGAATAACTCGAAAATTACACACTTTTCCCCAGGTTATGTCCATGATTATATAAAAGATTATTAAATTACCTACAAAAGGAAAAAAAAATCATCGAAATAGATTAGAAATTTATCCAATATCTTTTTTTTATATTACTATTTATCTTTTCTTATTTTCGATTAATATTCATTAGAAGAGCTCTATTATGGCCCATTTCATTTGAAAATAGCTATATATTTGGCATATGGCTATGGTATGATTACGACATTGAAACAATTTGTACTGACCGAAGGAGGAAAGTGGGTTCAAATATTTTATTAAGGGAAAACATAGTTGAGATTTGTATTTCGCACCTCATTTGTGTTTGGATTTGTATTTTGCACAGGATCCTATTTCTATGAATGGTTCCTGGATCTTCCCACCACCAGCAAACATATATTTTGTCTTTTGTTCATTAATTACTAGTTGCAGTTCCTTTTCCAACGCCAAAAATGCTTCCTTTAGTGCATGTATTGATCTTGCAATGAGGTCAAAGTCACCTGTATATCCTAGAAGCTGAACCACGCTGGAGAATATGGTCCAGGAAGTTTGAATCCCTAAAGATCTAACAGCTCTCTCAGCTACCAAATTGAAAAGGAGGCAGGCAAGTGCATCTCCCATCCTAATTCTGCTGTTGGCACCAAACGATTACGAGATGCATAGGCGCAGACTTTCGATTTTGATTGGGGGGGCAATGGACCAAAAAAAAAACATAGCAGGAATTTTCACATAATTATTGTTTAAAATTAATTTGTTTATATATTTGTATAATTGTAAGAATCTTTTTTTTTTTATTTTACTTACATATACTTGAAAATATCTTATAAAAAAAAAAAAAAATACACTTTGTTCAGATTAAACACAGGAGAGAATGGTGTCATAGTATTGGTACACTTCTAGAACTTTTTTAATTAAAAATAAATAATGTAAAAAAAATATTTGAATTAAAAAAAAAAAAACAGACTATTGAAATTGGGAAATTCTATTTATCCTAAGAGAATATACTTTCATATCTACTTAAACATCTTGGTAGATTGATACGGAAATTGATATCTACGAATATTTAAACTTGGTGCCTTTCATTACACACTACAGCTTCAGAAAAATACAATTTCATCCCATCTATCAGAGCACGTAAATATCCAAAAGTCTTGAAGCTTTGTTCGGGGGAGGTAGTTACAGACTACTACATCAAGATTTAATATTAGTAGGTGTCAATTTTTCTATCAATTTACCAAGATGTTTAAGTGAATAAGAAAGAACATTCTCTTAGGGTGGATAGAATTTCCCAACTTCTGTAGTCAATTTCTTTTTTTTTTTTTAATCAAATGTTTTTATACTTATATCAAAATATCAAATATTAGAGCCTGTCCAACGTTGCACATTCGTTACTTTAACATGGTGCCAACGAAATTATCACATATCATTTCAAAGCAATTAATAATCAAGATACTTGAACTATAACAAAAATATTTTTAAATATGTTGTGTTCAAATTGTTTCAAAACATTCACAGGATCTCACTGGGTAATTACAGCCTTTAAAATTAAAAATCGGTCAAACTATCCGCTCAAAACTTAAGTACCCTTTTAGCGGATTGATAAAACATACTTTACACAGCAATTGCCAGAATTTAAATTGATCAAACACATTTTATTTAAAAATGGTTCAGTATTTTTAGCTCAAATCAAAACACACTGGAAATCAAACCAAATAATATGAGTCTTCAAACTTAAAAATCGATCCAGCCATTCGATTAAAAGAGCATTACAAAGCTTTTTGCAAATCGATTCAACACATTTTATTTAATACCGTGCCAGTATTTACCTCAAATTGTTTTAAAACACGCAGGGGATTTCACCGAATAATTTGAGCCATTAAACTTAGATCAAGTCACTTCAAAAACCGTTACATAGCTTTTAGTGGACGATGAAATCTCAGCATCTATCTTACCAGAGTTAGTAATTATGGTACCTAAGTAGGTGTACTCCTTTACTATCTCAAGAATTTCTCCGTTGCAAACCAATAGGATGTCTTCCTCTTCTTCTCTCGCCATAATCATCACTTTACTTTTGGAGGCATTTATTCACATACCTTTCCTCAGCAGCTTTTGTTCCCATTCTACCAGTGCTTGCTGCAGTTTCATCTTTGAATCGGCGATAAGCACAGTGTCATCTGCATATAAAAAGCTGTGTACGAGAACAGTTCTCATATTCCGGTTTCCAATTGTAGTCCATGCAGTCCGACGCTTAAAGATTTTATGGATCTCATCCATAAAGTTTATAAACAGGAGGGGGCTTAAACTATCTCCCTGTCTGACTCCTCTCGCAATTGGGAGAGGTTCAGATTCTGTACCATTTATCCTTACCACTCCAGTGGCTCACTAGTAGGTTGATTTCATGGCCTCAATCAAATCCCCAGGCACACCCTTGGCAACCAAAGCGTTCAAAATTTCTTTTCTTTAACTGAGTCAAACGCTGCCCTTAGATCAAGAAATGCCAGGTTTTTGTTTCTGTCCCAGGCCTTTTCAGCGATGGTCTTAAGAACAAAGATATGGTCCTGATATCTATGATATGAATATAAATTACAGTTTAAATAAAAGTAACATTTAGATAACAATAAAATAATTACATACCTACTACAAGGCCCTAGCCTAGCCAGCCTAATTGACTTTTCTAATCGGTTTTAGTTTAAACATTTTATTCATTCATGTAGCTTATTTATTATTGATTTTCATTTTTTTTTTCAGATTATTGGGGCGACGAAACAATATTCTCGCCCCCTTCACATTTTTATTGGGGGGCGATCGCACCCCTCGCTCTACCGTAGTCTGCACCTATGCCGAGATGTTCCTTCCGACACGTACTACATACTTGGAATTCTTGCTTCTGATAAATAACCTTTATTTCATTTAACTTAAAAATGATAACATAATTTGATAAATCAATTAATTAAAAAAAAAACTGAGTACAAAATATTTTTATTCAATTCAGCTTTTCAATTCTTCATACCCTCCATGAAACGTAAAACTTCAAATTTTAGAGCGCTGCTATCTTGCCTTGCCATGAAAATGCATTCTGGAATGACTAAATTCTAACTGCAAAATTTTAATATTCAAAACTATATTGATAAGTGGCACAATTAAGTCATTGACGAATGCAACATCAGCTTCAAGGTATTGTAAAAACAATATTGTTATATTAAGTAACAAAATATTCATACTACAGTAAATAGTAACTTTGAAGTTCTGTTTCTCAAAATTATAGTGAATGCAATTACAACCTTTTCAAACCAAGGGCACGAAATTTCATTTTAAAATTTAGAAACTTGTGGGATCTTTTTAGAAAGATACTTCTTCTGAGGCTAAATCAAATTCTAACAAAGATGCATGTACTTTTTTTCCCTTAAATTTCACTTAAATTTACAATTCTTATTTTCAAATTATTGAACTAGATGACATAATAAAAATACACACTAACCTACTCCAATCCCAGCAATTATTGTAGCAGCAAAGGTTGCCGGATTAGACATTTCAGAAATCCTAAAAAAATAAAAAAATCATTGTTAGGCATTAAAAGTTTCTAATTTTCATATGATAAGATAAATAAATTAATCATAAATTATTTATTAGCATTTTCAGCGGATTAACAAATTATGCCAACCGTAATAATTCAAGTTCGATCCCTTCAGAACACTTGATGTTATCTGATACATAGTTTCTTTGTCAGTCCCAATCCTGAATCCTAAAAATATATATTATGGTCCTTATTCCTCCCAATAATTAAGGCAGAATGAAGATCATTAGCAAATTACAAAAATAAATAGAACAAAGCTTGACAAAGATATATATGCATATATTGTATGTACTTATATATTGTAATAGTTAAAAAATAAAATGGAGGATAAGAAAAAAACTAAACAAACATAAATAAAGAAAATTCCTAGACTAATAGCCTATTTAGAGAAGTAAAAATTAAAATACTAATAGCTTAAAATTATATTGCAGAATAATCCATATAAATTTCATTGGAATTATGGATCCTTAATTTAATATAAAAATCTTGAGTTTTGGTAAAATCTTTACTTTTATGATATAAATAAAATCTTGATTTTATAATAAATAACTCTCTACTTTTAGTATAAGATTCTTCTAAAGCAGAGGTTTCCAAACTTTTTGGCTCACAAGCCACATTGTGACCTCCACCATGTCCCGTGGACTATGGCATCATGTCCTATAAACAATATTTCACCTGTAAAATGAGCTTTCTAATAGACAAAATCGATGCAATAAATGTAGGTTGTAGTAACCTCGTGTGTGAGTAATATAGTAAATTTTATATATTTAAATAGTTTTTCAAATTTTGCCATATGATCAAGGAAACTTTCACAGGCTGGATTGGAGGTGCTGGTGGGCTGGATCTGGTCCACGGGCCGTAGTTTGGAGACCCCTGTACTAGAGGAAATACTGAAAGACAAAGGAGGAAGATCAATGAGACAATTTATATTGCTCTGTTACTAAACTGGATAGAAGAAAGCTATCAGTACTCTATACAGGAACAAATACATACCCACTTAATCTAAATTACATCAATAATGGTGTATAAATAGTTAACTGTAGATAATATATTAAGGAAGTTAGTTGCTTTTCCTGTAACAAATAAAACAAAAATTAAAAAATCAATTTTGTGTTTTGATAAAACAATTTGTGTTTCTCATTGAGACTAACTTTCCAACTATATTAATATAGATCTTATGACATAGGTGCACATCCTAGAATTATTAAACATTACAATTTTCTGAGGAATTATCAATAAAAAAAGTGAATATTATCATTGTTATTGGATCCTACAGGGGTCTTGCAGCATACCAACTACAAAATAGATTATAAATATATCAATGGTTAGGACAAAAAAAGAAATACTTATCAAGCTGTTCCCAAAATAAAAAAATAAAAAATAAGATCCATGAATTTTGTTGAGTATTAAATAAAATTAAACTTAAAATATAAATTAACCTAGATCAGTTATAACTGATACAGAAAATAATCGTACCATAAAGTGAATAAAATATTAAGAGCAACCCGAAAATGACAATCAACAGGAAATAAATATTTTACTATAATTATAAATCATTCAATATTCTTAAAAAAAAACAAAAAACATAAATAATAATTATTTAAACTCACCAATTAAATCCTTAAATCGGTAACTAGATAAGGAAAAGATAAAGTTTAAATAAGAGTCAAAAACAGTAAATAACGCTTCTGTGATTTACAGAACTGGAGATCAGTGTCACCATCCATCCAAAACTAATCCTCCTAACTTTATTTTAACAAAATCAGATAACCAATAATCGTATAAATGTAATTACCGAATAATCATAATTACGGTACCAGTTCAATTATCTTTTTTATCACATATAATTATCGACTACTAATGATTTTTGGTAATAAAATCAATTTAGGTCCATAGGTTCTCAGTGTTGTTTAAACTTTTCAAGGTGCATTTAGACATTTCACTTACTGGGCAAAACACAATTATCTAACTCACGGGCGGATCTACGGGGAGGGCTTTCGGGCTGAAGCCTCCCCCAAAATGGAAAAATATAACCATGTTTTATGGGAAAAAAAATTTAAAAAATATCTCTTAAAGTATTATTGCTCGTGTAATTACATTTAAAAGTACTTAAGGAGTAAATTAAACACCATTTCATATAGGTAGCTAGTTTCTTTTTGTTTTTCCAAAGTAATTATCGTTATTTTTATGAAAAAAAAAGGTTTCGGACTGAAGCCCCCCAAAATTAAATCCTGGATCCGCTAGAGATCTAACTTAACTAATATCGACATTAGCGCTAGAAAACAAGAAACAAAAACACTAGCATAGAGAAACATCAATTTAAATATTTGTTTTTCCCATAGTTTATGAAATGTCTAAAAGCATCCTAAGTTTAGGTGACCAGAAGTCTCGTTTTTGGCTGAATAGTCCCTATTTACAACAATTTGTCTCGCGTCGTTTTCAAGAAGTCCCTTTTTTCGAAAAGAATACACCGCAAGCTAGAGAAAGAGATGAGAATGTCGGCGGCCATTTGGCCATGTCACTATTCATATTATATTTGTTGAATTTATAATGTAAAACTTCAACAATAACGAATAATTGTTAAGAAATGATTATCGGGAACTGCTTAGCAAAGTTCGTATTGATGATTGATTGTTAGACTATGATCACCATTGTATGGACTTAATGATAATAAACAATCCAAAAATAATATTTTAATGAAGTATCATTATAAAAAATATATACTGATAAGCACGGGCGGATCTATGAGGGGGAGGGGGACTTTCGGGCTACAGTCCTCCCCCCCCCCAAAAATGGTAAAATATGTCCATGTTTTATAAAAAAAAAAAAAAAAAAGTTATCTTTAAAAGTATTATTGTTCGTCTAATTACAGTTAATAGGACTTCAACAATCACTTAAAGACCATTTCATATAGGTAGTTAGTTTCTTTCTTTCTTCCAAAGTCATTATCCTAATATATTTGTAAAAAAAAAAAAAAAAAAAATCTTTCGGGCTGAAGTCCCTCCAAAATTAAATTCTGGATCAATTAGTGCTAATAAGGAAAAGGTTAAGTCTTGGGCATCAGCAAATTAACTTCATTTATTACTTCGATTACTGAAATGTTGCCTTCAATAAGTGCTTAGCACTTTGAAAAAGAGCTGCTTGATTGTGTACAAATTGCTGGCACAAAACATTTGTCTTAAAAACTGTTTTATTATTGAAGTGCAAATGCAAATCAAAGCCAAATATAAATCCCCCCCCCAAAAAAAAATAAATAAAATAAAACAAAGTATCACACCCTATTCAAACGTATTGCCAAGAGGGACGCCAGAAATTCATTATGGCCCAGAGCTTTTCAAGATCTGTATATATAGTTTAATATTGCTCAATATAGCTCTTACACGTGCAATTATATTGACACTGTTTCAATAATATTGAAGGAGCTTCAATAAAAATACAAATAAAATTATATCAACCAGTTTGATTGATGTCAATATAATTGATGCCAATGTAGCTGTTGCACGGTCAATATATTGACGAAACTAGATATTGACCTATAACACGGGCGGATCTACGGGGGGGCTTTCGGGCTGAAGCCTCCCCCCCAAAATGGAAAAATATAACCATGTTTTATGGGAAACTTTTTTTTAAAAATACCTCTTAAAGTATTATTGTTAATCTAATTACATCTAAAATCACTTAAGGAATCACTTAAATACCATTTCATATAGGTAGTTAGTTTCTTTCTGTTTTTCCAAAGTAATTATCGTTATTTTTATGAAAAAAAAAGGTTTCGGACTGAAGCCCCTCCCCCCAAAATTAAATTCTGGATCCGCTAGTGCTCTATAATATTGTTATAGAGTTAACGAGAATATTTTCAGTTGGCAGAATATGCAATTTTCACTGTTTTTATTGAACAGCTCAATTGAAAAAAATATAATTAGATTTAGCCGATGTTACGACTATTCCCACTGTGCGCCGGTTCAAATCCTGCCTGGGAAGAGTCGACTTTTAAAATCGACTCCGCTTCGTATTTCTTTTTTTTTTTCTTGTTCTCCTCCAATCCTGACTACTTAGCTTTAAGTCTACAAAGCGTATAGTCCAGTCCATACGAGGATTTCCCCGGGCCAGGGAGTGAGGGCGGAAAATTTAAAAGACCCCCAGGCACCGGGACGCGAAATCGTAATTTTATTGTCTGCAAACTTTGGTTATCAGTTTCCCAAGTAACGAGCGGTGCTGTGTACACACGTTAGCCCGTTCCGCAACCCCACCCCACCGCTTCGTATTTCGTGGTGGACTCACGGAATGAAACGACCTTCTGGTTAGAAAAGGTTTAGTTGTACCTCTAGGAAAACCTTTTCTACCTCCTGTGTGTCAGAAATGGTGGTTAGAGAGTTATAAAATAAAAATAAAAAATATCTTTCGTTCGACGGAATGACTTCCGCCGATCACAGTTCTAGTGGACACCCAGGCATTCTGAAATAAAGATGATTATATGTGATATAGTTATCATTTCGACAAAGCTCATCAACAATTTCAACAAGACCCATCGTTATTTTTTTCGTAACTCCTTATTAAAAATTAAATATTTTTGAGCGAATCTTCACAGAATGAACTGTTTCTAAGTTGTGCATTTTGATTATTCAAACAAATCTTATCCAAGTCATTTAATCTATTTCACTTAGCGAATATATATATATATGAAATAGTGGCTTTATGGGCCTAAGTATAAATGAAACGCTTTTAACTCCTTCTTCCTCGCCCATTTGTTTGTAAGATAGTTGATCTTAATAGGTTTGTCATGTGCCATTCACAAGATATTTATTAAAGTCATATTGTTTAAAACATGGATGTAAAAGTTAAAGAAGTTATTCCCAGTATAGCTAAAGAAGCAGTTCTTGTTGAAAGTTCACCACTTCCTAAAGATACTCCCATAGTGAAAGGTTTTTATTATTTCTATATGAGAGTTGCAGAATTTTCTAATCTTAAACACTATGCTCTTTTTATTTGCATTTTATTAATAAAATTTATAAACAACTGTAGTGGAGCATATTTAGATCACTGCTAGATGTCAAACATGGTTATCAGTTTAATCTGCCATAATTGTTTTTCTTTTTAACTGTATCATTAGTTTAAAGTATTTTTATTTGCTAGGATATGACTGGAATAGTGGTGTAGATTACTCAAGGTTGCTCCAGACATACATGACTTCTGGTTTTCAATCAACCTCTTTTGGATTGGCTATTGAAGAAGTAAATAAAATGGTAATATTCTTGATGATATTTGATAACCAATCTAATCACATGAATATATATTTCTTCTGAAGTTGGGGTGGTATCGTTCGTTAGTTATATCACAGCATGATTGTGAATTAAAACTCATACTCATTAAATGTAATAAGAATTAGATTATGATACAGAAACATTTTTTTATTCATTACTGGGTGAATTAAAATTTAATCAAGCTTTAATTGACTAACGACAGATCAATTTTGGCTTTGGACATTTGAATGCAATTCCTATTCATTTAAATTATTTATAGAAACCTTGCTAATATACTTAATTCGAAAGCAAGGTTGACAATTTATTTTTAAAATTGCCATTTTTTTTTTCCTTAAGGGAAAGTTATGTCAAATAGATTGAATAGGGAATAGCACGATTGGGTTGATTCTGGCCTCTCAAAACTTCTCTTATGAGTACTAACATATATGTATTATAGACTAGACGGTAACGCTGTACAGAAGTCATTCCACTTTGCTGAATGGGCCAAGATCTTGTAATCGCGCTGTAAATGGAATTCTGAGAATAGTCCAAGATTAATTGTTCACTGCATAACTTCTCTTTATTTAGATTGTGATTTACAACTTTGCCAAATTTCTTTCTCATCCTTTTCAGTTCTAATCATTAATAGGCTTTAATTATTTGGCTGCTTACTACTCCTGCTCACTCAAAAAGAATAAATAAATCCCCAATGGGTCCTTTTCAGTTAAGGGTGTGGCCTTTTCAGAAGGTTTGGACATACTGGGCCATTCTTCCAATTCCTTTTATCGTATGATTGTGAGATCTTGTGCCACCCTTGAAAGTTGACTGACATTGGTACAGTATTTCCGACTTGTCTAACAAATTGCTTGAAAACTATAAATTTTGACTACAGCCTGCCATGCAAGATTAACTTTGTTTTATAATTTTTCACTTGTATTAATTTAATCTTATGCCATGTCATGATTTTACAATTTGTGGGATGAATCAGCATTGTAAATCACCTCTCACCAAATTGTTATCATATCTTTTGTGTATTATAAAAATCTCTCTGAAATGATGAGATTTTCCAAGGAAACTTTGTTCCTTCCTTCATATTTATTAGTTTATGAGAATAACTGCATGTGCTTGGTTCAATAAAATCCACTGAATCAAGCTAATGCCGTTGTTTAAAATACTATTTCTTAGTACTTGTGTGAAATATAAAAACATTTCATGGACATCTTTATAACCTCAAATATATTTACTATAGAGTATTAACTCTAGATAAGATATTGTATTTAAATAATTGGGTATCTATCGGCCATTTGTTCCAAAAAATCATCAAGTAACCTTTTAAAAATTAAATTAGTGAATAATTTCATGAATTTTCTCAATGTGAAATCCCAACATTATCCACTTACAATTAGTGAGACAACTTATGACCTATCCATGGCAAGTTAATGAAAATCTCGTAATTTTATTTTAAGCTTAATAACTAATAGTTAAGTGTTGCCCAAATGCGAGACCAAGACGAGTCGTGGTCGAGGTCTTGATTTTGCGCAAGAATCTCATAACAGACTTGCAGTCACCTATTAGCTTATTACTAGAGAGATATTACTGTAATTTTTTAGATATGATAAACCTAGCTAAGTCAATAATTTTTGTATATAATGAAAAATAAGAAGAGTTAAATGAAAAAGTATATTGGTTACACCAATTCTTTACATAAGTAACTAAAATTGTCAAGTATTAGTGACTATTTTGCCTCAATTTATATTTAAAAATCAATTATTTTTATCAGTCTTGGTCTTGGTCTTGCAACAGATAGGCAGCATTGGTCTTGGTCTTGCAAAGTACAAGACCAAGACCGATTTCGCGCAACACTACTAATAGTCCTACGATTCATAATCATTTATAGGTTACATATTCAGATATACTTTCAAACGTTTGTAGGCATATATGAGCCTTTCGGTTGACAGAATGACTAACTCCAAGTATAATAAATAGACATTTTGTAATTATTATGGTCTTGATGACTTGTTATCTGTAAGCTTTAAGCTTTAGCTCCATTTAAAATGAACTTCAAAAATTTTATAATAGCCCAGCATTGCCAGAAAATAATTTCTATTCAAAGTAGAGTGGTAAGTGAAAGTTGTGTGTTGCGTGCACCAGATTTTTTTTGTTTAAAACTCTTTTTTGTATGAATTTAACTATTCATTATTTATCAATTATGTTTTAGTTGGATTGTCGAGCTCAACTACTAAATTCAGAAGAAGAAGATAAATTTGAAATGGATCCTTTTATTAAACGTAAATCAAAGTGTACTTTATTTCTTGGGTATACATCAAATATGGTTTCATCAGGATTACGTGAAACAATAAGATTTCTAGTAGAACATAAAATGGTAGATTGTATTGTGACAACTGCTGGTGGTGTGGAGGAAGACCTTATAAAGTGCCTTGCTCCCACATATCTTGGTGATTTTGGACTCCAGGGGAAAAAATTGAGAGACCGAGGCATTAACAGAATCGGAAACCTTCTAGTGCCAAATGATAACTATTGCAAGTTTGAAGATTGGGTGATGCCACTTTTAGATCAAATGCTAGAAGAACAAAAAACGCAAGTAAAATCTTAGATTATATAAAATCAAGTAATATGTTGTGAAAATTACTCTCCCACTCTCACATATAGCTCTTCTAGACTTACCAAAATGATTACTCACAGCATACAAGAATATGATTCATAAATGAATGCCTAAAATGGAAATGAAAGTTCATATTTTGTATGATTTATTAAATTCAGATATATTCCCCGCTATGGTTTGTATTTTATTTTTACTTTCACTTACCTATATATGTAATATATAGTAAGGGTAAGTATTGCGATTGTGAGCATTTAAGAATCTGAGTTTTCAACGGAAATACACGTTTTGAGGTACTCTGAGTCCAAAGAACCAAGTCCTGCAGGATGGTCCGTGTGTGTATGTTAGGAGTCTAGCTCAACAACAAAAAGTCGTATGAAACTGATATTATGTATTTAAGATAGGTCAAAGTTTAGATGTGACAGCAACTTTTTCCTTAAAATTGGCTAACCGCAAGTGCCACTTTATATCAACGCTGAAACACATTTTTACAATTTTCTCAAAAACGGTTCTAACGATTTTGATTGAACTCGGTGTATCATTGTGTAATGAAGTGTTCTTTAATGTCAATCAGGTCTTATCCCCATTGATGTCACATTACAGGGCTTAAATCCCCAATGTTCATATACGTCTTCTTCTAAATTACCTTTAATATGGTTTATTATTATCTAATATAGAAAGTTGTAGAAGGAAACGGAAAGTGGTAAAAAAATTATAAATAATAATTTTTGAAAGAAAAATAATATTATTTAACGTTAATCACATGTTTTGAAGGAAATTAAATGAAATTTACTAACTAAATGTAGCCTTTTAAAGAGATTTTTAAGTTTGGAAAAGTATTTAAAATCCACTTAATCAAGGTAATGCTGCTGTTTAAAAAATTATTGCATTGTACTTGCGTGAAAGAAGAAGTGAAATATCAAATCATTTTATGGATGTATAACGCATATATTTATAACCTTAAATACATTTACTGTAGTTTAATAATTCTAGATCTGATATGTAGAATTATGTCGTGTAACTTTAAATAAAATTGAATTAAGGAATAATTTGTTAAATTTTCACTTCGCGAACTCCCAAAATTATCGTGTCTTCCTCTAAAGTACCTTTAATTTGGTTTATTATAAATAACAACTATTTCTCATTGTTAGGAGTTATGAAAAAATGCTAAATATAACTTTTGAAAGAATTCGATAATTGAATATAAGAGAAAAAAAAGAAAAATACATATCTATGTCGGAGATAATAGTTAGAAGATTTACGTATAATATATTGTGGGAAAGCCGTATCTATCGTCTGTTTATTTAGAAAAATCATTTATGTAACCTTTTAGAAAATTTAATTAGTGACTAATTTGATGAATTTTCTCTTTGTGATATTCTAACAGTATCCACTTCCAATTAGTGTGACAACTTTTGACCTGTCTATGATAGACAATGTAAATCTCTTAACTCCATTTTAGCAAACTTTGCAATGGAAAATAACTATTTAATAACTAATAGCCGTACAATCCATAATCAACGCACCGTACAACCCATAATCAACCGGTGATATCATAAATAGGACTTTTCTTATTTTAATGGTATTTATGATTTGTTAGCTGTAAGCTTTTAGCTTTAGCTCGGTTGTAAATGCAATTCAAAAATTTTATAATAGCCCAACATGGCCAGAAAATAATTTCTACTCAATGTTGAGTGGTAAGTGAAAGTTGTGTGTTGCGCGCACCAGATTTTTTTATATTGCCTTCACTATATTTGAATGATTAAGTAACTGGTGTGGTTATATCTACTTTTCAGAAGACAAAAAAAAAAGAACTTTACTTTAATTATCCCATGTTGAATAGCTAAGTCCTAAATTTTTGTTTGTAAGATTTTATTTCATGAAATTGTTTATCATAAATTAAAAAAGTAATTAATTCCAAAAATTTGATTTTTAACATTCTTTACTAAATCACAATGGCAATGTGTTATTGCCACTGAATTATATCCTTTCTTCTGAAGTATTTTATTTTTAATTTTTATAATCTAGAACATTTTAGGATAATCAGTGGTTGTGGTTAATGTTCCTATTCATAAAATTTATGAATTGCTCACTTACATTTCTTTCTGTTTATCAATTTTACTTCTGATTTTCTAAAAGCCAAGTTGGTATTTCTTATCATACTTATAATAAATTGCAAGAGCTGATGGGCAGTTTATTTTATTATTTAGATTTAGAACTTGAAAATTGAAGTCTTCCTGGCCGATAAAATCCTTCATTGCATAATAAAATTGCAAATCTTTTTATATCTCATTGTTTCCTCTATTGCTAGATGTTTGTATCATGATTTTGGGGATTTATTATTTTAAGTTTTATAAATTTTCGATCAGATCAACCACTCTTAGGTTTAGAACTGTTGTGAGTTATTTTCAACTAGTTGATCAGGATCACCCATTTTTTTATTCATTTATTCAGTTTATAGGAAGTACATATGAAATTCACTGGTATAATTGTAGTGTATTATGTGTTAATCAATAAATTAATTCATTAAGGAAAATTTATATATATTGTTTGACAATTCTTATTCAAGTACTATAAATTTATTTTTAGGGAATATTATGGACCCCTTCTAAAATCATTGAAAGACTTGGTTCTGCAATTAATAATGAGTCTTCTATTTGTTTTTGGGCAGCTAAAAATTGTATACCCATATTTAGTCCTGCTCTAACTGATGGAAGCTTAGGAGATATGATGTACTTCCATTCTTACAAAAATCCAGGATTAGTTGTTGACATCCTTGAAGGTTAGTATAAGAAAATTATAGCTTACATGTTTAGATTATTTGACTTCTTTACTACAGATATTAGGAAAGTTTTGTAAAAACAAAGTTCTTAGTGTGAAATCACTGACATATCTTTTTGTGTCTACTGAGTTTCACCATCAAAGATAGGGGAGCTTCTTAATTCACATGAGAACTTAAAAAATGTCTGTGCTAAGAATCAAAAATTTCCATTCACACATAACATTTTAGACATCAAGGAACAAATTTGGTTCCATGTCTGTCTGTCTATAGTTAAATCTATTGCAATATGAGAATCAGCTATTGCAGCTGAGCACACCAACTCTCAGAGATTGTGTGGGTTGATCATGTCCCATATCAATTTCATCATTATCTTGTCCACTTATGTACAGATAAAGGTATTTTTGTTTTTCTTCTCCTACCCACTAGTGAGTCATGATTACCAAAATTCCAGTTCATCACACATTGTCCAGCATCATCATGGGCCACACATCTTTCCATCTTTTTTCTATCCCGCCCATTATATTTTCTCTGCACAGGTATGCTCTGCTACATCAAGGTCTTCGTATAATCTATCAATTTGCTGGTTTGTTCGTCTTCTCCAGGTACCCTCAAGACAAATTCTTCCATACATATTCTGCAAAATCTTCCTTCCAAATATTAATAGACTTTGTCCTTCTTGCTCAATGTTCATGTTTCTGAGCCATAGCAGAGGACTAATGAGTATTTTGTTGAGCAAAAGTAAAGTTTTTCCGGACAGACGCTGCCTTTCAGTTGATACTGCCAACCACAGAAGCAGTGATTCGCCAAAATCACTCTATTCTTGATTTTGGTGCCATGATCATTATTAGAATTCATGATGCATCCAAGGTATTTGGAATGTTACTTTTTTCAAAGCTATATTCTCCAAATTTAACCACTTTTCCTGGTCGTTTGAGCTGTCCAATGACCATATACTTTGTTTTAGATGTATTTATGAGTTCAATTTTCTTTGCAGTGCATTCTAATGTAAAAAATGCCTTCTCTACTGATGTCTGGGACTTTCCAATTATGTCAAGATTGTTGGCATATCAGAAATGTAAGGTGGTTCTATTCAGAATAGTTTCAGAAATCTGAATCCATCATTGAGAAACTCTTAAGACTCTGATAACAGAAATAGAGCAAATTGGTCTTCAAGTAAATGAAGATAATGCAAAATATATGATGATAAGGGAAAATTTCATCCTAATAACAGGATCTGCATATAAAAGAAATCATTCCAGAGAGTAGACATATTCAAATATCTTGGGTCCATAATAACCTTAATTAATGAACAACAGTTGAAAATAGATCAACATATAACAAGTGCAAACAGAGCTTTCTTCACTCTTTCAAAGATAATTAAATTCCAAAAGAATTCAAATTAAGGATGTACAGTGCTCTGATTTACCCAGTTCTGATATACAGCTATGACCTGGACTTTAACCAGGATGATAACCAAAGGTTTACTAAATACCACAGATCAGTTGCATATATCACTAAAGAGTGACTCACATTTGTCTAATAGCATTACTTTTATTTATCCATATAATATATCATTTTCCAAAATTAAAACTTAAACATATCTTTTTCAGATCTGAAGAGGTTAAATACAATGGCTGTCAAAGCAATCAATAGTGGCATGATAATATTAGGAGGAGGAGTTATAAAACATCATATATGTAATGCTAATTTAATGGTGCGTTTTTTGTTTTTATCCTAGCTTTAAAAAAATATATGTATTTTCTTTTCATGATGATCTTGTTTAGTGACCATTTCTTTATAGGAATGATTATAATCTCATTTATTCATCAATCAACAACAGAATTTGATTGGTGATTGTATAAAATCAAAAATTATTTATATAATAAATGCCAATAATTATTTATGTCACAAACAAATGTCCTTTCTCTCATTTAAAATGTCCTCTTTGTTCTTAATCCTGATGATGAAAGTAGGATGAATGAACTTTAGGTTCTATGGAGGGATTTCAAATTTTATATTATAATTTTTTTTAAAATTACAGTAACTTTTAATCCGTTATTCAGGCTTTTTCTCAATGTAGATGCATTATCTTCTTCAGATTTTGTCCTCATGTTCAAGGGAACCACTTGAGAGTGATTGATGTTCTGCAATGAAGCATCAGTCCTATGTTACCTCCTTTAGTTGTTGGAATGCAATTGTTGCCCGACATTAGTCTGAAGAACATGTTGACAAAGTATAAAGAAGATAGTAATATAGTTTCCTGAAAAAAATAGTTGAATAATTCAGAAAACTTAAGAAGTTTTTATAATTAATAAATAAAAACAAAATGGGTTTGACTAAATTATACATAATTTAGTTTGAAAGCAGAAGTAGTAGACTTGAATCAGGCAGATGTTGTGAGTCGTGTTTTATTAATAGTAATATATAGTTTATTTCTTGTGTATTTAAAAGTAATTGATTATTCTTTTTTAGAGAAATGGTGCAGAATATGCAGTATTTATTAATACTGCTTCTGAGTTTGATGGTAGTGATAGTGGAGCAAGACCCGATGAAGCTGTTTCTTGGGGCAAAATAAAAAAAACTGCCAATCCTGTTAAGGTAGGTTTTATTATTACAGATATTGAATTTTGTAATAATATACTTAATGCCTTATCCCATCACAGTATGTTTTAATTCTGTTGAAAATGTATTTCATGTTCTACCCGCTTGATTTTGTTTTTATTAAAAGTTTTAAAATATTTTTGAGTAAGAAAATATTTATAATAATATTTACTGTATAAAATTACAACTTGTAGAAAGTTTTTAATAATAAATTCAAACATATCCCTGTAACTTTTAGTTACTCACTGCTCAGAATCATCAACCTCCTGCTTAATATATTGCACCTAATATGATAACCAAAATAGAGAAATTATCATTTATAAAAAAATATCTATTCTGATACTAGTTGCCCAGTAACCTTGTCATGAAAAGAGGAGTCTAAGTTGCATCAAATGGGGGTAGAAGGTTTCTTTGTTTTATCTTGTACGGGATGCGAATGAGATGTAAAATCCAATTTTTCGACCAGCGTTCTTTCTCATTATTTTGGGGCTTGGATCGTCTGTGAGTTTTATATGTGGTGAGTGTATAAATGAGGGTGAAATAGTGTTGGTGAAAGAAAATGTAGTTAAAACTCTTTAAGCATCTAGTGATAGGTTGAAAAATAGGGACAATGAATGTTTATTGAAACGTTTGATTGAGATTTATATACATATTGCATGCTTGAAGCATTAAAATAATCCCAAATTGATCAAAGCAGATGTTAAATGTGGAGAAACAAATGTGACAAGAACAAGGACTTTCACTAAAAAATTTAATTTTCAGAGAGCAGTGTTAGACATGGAAAAATCATAGTAAAAGAGTTCATTGAAGCAAAGAAGAAAAAACCGTCAGAAAAAAGAAATTATGAGATCACTGTCGAGAAAAACTTCAACATACTGAAAGCAGTTGAACAAAAAGATGGCAAATTGACTATCAAAATAAAGGAACTAATTCCAAAGGAGCCTGATGTGATGTGCACTCGATGCCAGATACCATTTGTTTTGCCAAAAATCATTTCATGCTGAAGGAGATGCTGAGACGCTAATCATCACCTATTAGAAAGGCCTCTGATTTTCAGATTGTTGTTGTAGCAGAATGGAACGTAGATTTGTTGGTCATTCTCACCGATCTCAGAGGTCAAACACAAGTTAGCACCCCTTTTAGAAGTGTGGAAAATAAAACACCTGCAATATCTATAGACAGTCAGCTCATCACTTTCACTCACACCTTCAGTGGTTGTGATTCCGCCTCGTGCTTCTTCAGGCAAGGGAAACTTAAATTGCTTAAAATACTACCTATTAGATCTTAAAGTGATGCAGTTTTTTTCTAATCCAGCTTCTACACTTGCCCAAGTGGTTGAAGCCAGTGAGAAAATACTCATTGACTGGATGTTCGTGGAGAAGGATCCAGTCAAACCCTCAACGACCTGCATTATTAGATCTTTATAAAGAATGCAGCCAAGACTAGTGTCAATCTGGCCAGACCTACTCCTACGCAAGATGTTGCATATTACATTCGTTTCGCATATATTACCAGGTACAAAATGGTTGGGTTTCAAAGAGAATCCACTCGAATGGGAATAGGTTGCTACGGCTTGAGACTTTTTCTCAATGATGGTGTCAAGAGTAGCCCTCTTAAATCTGTTAAGAATGATTTCTTGCAGTTGCAAGAAGGTATGCAGAAATGCTTACAGCTGCAGGAAAGCAGGTTTGAAGTGTTCAGTTATGTGCAGAACCTGTAATGGCCAGTCCTGCAAAAACTGTATGAAATTACGGTAAACATCAACGTCAACACCCATGATTTGGACGAACTCAACAAAGAGGACAATAATATGGATAGACTACTTGACTATTCTGACAGCCAACTTGCCCGCAGATGTTATTAAAGAAGTCAAAGAACATTAGCTGGTGTACTTTCCCTTGTGTTGTTAATTGTTACTATTACTTCTATTAATCAATACTTAACCGCATTATTTACACAGATACCGTTATTTCTATTAATTAAAACTTACCAACATGTGTAAGGACAAGATGGCCGAGCTGGATGGGGCATGAATCCCAGAGTGCCCGGTTCTGAATGTTGTGGGTTGGATTCCTTCCTAGGTCGGTTAATTTTCATTTACTCCATCTCCTGGGAAATGAATTCTGACATTTCCACTATGTCCACTATATTTCCACGCAGCTACAATCTTAAGTTAGCTATCAGGGGTTGACAAAAAGGCCCACTTGCTCGACTAGTTCTCCCACCAGTACCAACATGGGTGTTGCATTTATATTAAGACTCCTTGACAAGGTTTTATCTTGGGATATTCAACAATTAAATATTTACATTCCATTTCTGGAAGCCCAGGAGGCGAATTGTTGGATTTGTTTGGCTCTAGTCCTTCGAATCGGAGGAAACACCTGTAATTCATATTTCATTTACTCTTTTTGTATATACTTGATGCAAATAATTGTTAAGTAAATTTGTTATTTCGATTTCAGTTGTCTTGTTGTGAACAGTGATATCCCCCTCTCCCTCCCCTTCAAAATATTGAAATGAATAAAAATTTACTTCACTGATTCATATCAGACAGGTTATTGATGATATAAACACAATTGCATATGATCAAACATGAAAAATAGCTTAAAATTTCCAAAATTTTGAACACCTGTATCTCAAAAACTATTAAATTTATCGAGCATGTTCTGGTCTTAAATTGTAGAATATTTAGTCTTGTTTGAAAATGTATCTAATGTTTTTGATCGAAAATTTACTCTTCTGTGGTCAAAATGGGGAATAACCGAAAATATAGCAGTTTTGGGTATATTCAAAAGTTATCTGGGGAGGGGAAGGGAGTGCCGAGGTTGAAAACTTTGATTTTGTATCTCAGTAACATTCTATACAAGAAAAAAAAGAAAGCTTCTACCCCCATTTAATGCAACTTATGATGTACAAGGTCATTGGCCTATAGGTCCTTTGAGAATAACAGGTATATTGTCAGTTTATTGCAAAAAGTCACTAGTACATTTTTGATGAAGCTGAACTTATAAGAACGTTTTTATAAATTCCAACATTATTTATCAATAAAAAAACATAGTAAGTGCACCAAAATCACACAAATTATATAGAAAATGTAATTTTGGTTAAGATATTATCAAAACTATTTTCTTATAGCTCACAGATCGGAATTGATAAGTTTTTATTACTTAAAAGATTGACACTGTGTGCCATAGTTGGGCAGTATAGTATTAATTTTTGAAGTTAAAACTCAAAAGCCAAAAATAATTATATACTTTTGATTAAAAACTGCAGTTTTAAAAATTTCTAAGCTTTCTAATCTTGAAATTTCAAGATTAGAAAGCTTCTGTTTGGATGGAATGTAAGAAAAAGAGTTACTTTAACTCGTCATACGTTAATTATTTATTAACTTTAAAAATCAAATTAACATGTGGTATACATGAAAACATTTTGATGTACTGAATCTAAATCTTAAAAAAACCGTTAATGATTTTTTTCAGTCTGTCCTATTTTGCCCTATACTACTGCTCAGCACAGTTATAGTAACTTCATTTTTTTCACAGATATATCATTATTGATATATAAAAGTTAATATTAAGTTATATATATTTATATTCCTTTAGTTCCTAAAAGGTTAATATTTGCTGTGCCGAATGGTAAGCGTCCGAGGGGTAGACCTAAGCGAAGGTGGGAAGATTGCATTAAAGCCGATCTGAAGGGACTGGGTTTGGACGGCGAACGGTGGAGGGAGGTGTGTAACAAGCGATTGGTGGTGTCGGCATCGAACCTTCGGGTTCGCTAAGCCTTATTATTATTATTATATTCCTTTAGTTACATTTCATATTAACTTCTTTTTTTTTTTCAGATTTATGCTGAAGCAACTCTAGTATTTCCTCTGCTGGTTGGTGAAACGTTTGCCAAGCGATTTTTCAGAGAGAAATAATTTTATTCTGGAGAAAATTTACTCTAATTTTGATAACAAATTAAATTTAAAATTTCTCAAGTTATGAGTAAAATTTGACTGAATTGGAATTATGATACCAATAAATGTAGTTAGGATATTTATGTGGTAAAAAATTCAAAATATGTACATAGGTAAATATATTTGTATTTGGAAATAATAATATGAAATTATGTATAATTCTACTCTTTTTTTCCTCCTATAAATATAAATATTTACTCATCATCCAATTCCTGTAGCATAATCCATATCTATCAACACACATTCCTACAATCTTTCCCATAGGTTAAACTAACAATGACATTAGCAAAAATGTATGTATTGGAGTTCCGGCAATTGTCAAATTCTCCATTCAAGTCATGTAAGTCTGTGACTGTAGCATCCTTACTCAACATCCACTGGTTTTTAGTACCAATAACATAGTTGGGAGAGAAGCACTAAGATCTGTAGTAGCCTTGCTTTTCCCTCAAGTGGGGAGACAAGATTGGTTTGGAGTTTCCCTGACTAATTGTAAATAGTGTATAATATGTTTAATCTACTTTTAAAAGTTTTTTTTCTTTATTTTATTTTGTTCTTATTTCTCTAGATCTTCTTTTCGAGATCTTACCTTTTCAGCTACATGGGTTTTTTTTTTTTTTTCGGGATGGAGAGAGGGCGGGGGAATTATGTCTCAAAACTCCCACCAGGCATCAGGATTTGAACTCATGATTATTTTTCCATTTTAAATAGCCAGGGCTCAAAAATCGACCTCATCGCAGGCGAAGGCTAGAATGCGAATTACGAAAGTGTATGTTATTTGTCATTCTTACCTTGTCTGTCATTCCAGAGCTGCTGCTTTAAAAAATGGCAGCTGATTTAAAGAATATTAGGCAAGTAACTTGCGGATCGAAACGAGAAATATATTAAGAAAAATGTGGGAAAAGTTGTCATTTTTTTAACTTATGTACATGGGATTGAACATGTAATATCCTAAATTTCTAACTCCAGCAACCAAGGAAAAACGTTTACAGCCGAAAAAGCCATCTTTTTTTGTTTTTTTTTCACAAACAAATCCTAAACGGTGCATCAAAACGAAAAATATACTCTTTAAGAAATTATAGAACGTTAAATTGTGCGTTGAAGAGTATCTCAACTTAATAATTTGGTTAAGTGGTATGGTAGAAAACCACGGTCACCAAATTTTGCTGTTTTTACCAAATTTGTCAAAAACTGAGACACTCTAAATGGCCCTGTAGCTTGGAAATGAGTTCCCGGAGAGGAAAAATTGAAACAATTAAAGTTGTAGAGCATGAAATTCTGCTTCTTGTGAGTACCAACAGTTTTAATGTAGGTCAATTATATCTCTTGAATCGGGATTTGTTGTATTTTCATGAAGATGGTTTCTTATGACACCTCCTTTCGCTGCTGAGAGAAGGAAAAGAGGTCTATACTGCATACAGCAGACTTTAAACAAGAGTAACTCGGTAGAATATACATCCATAATATTAAAATATTGAAAATCACCCATACCTTCATTACCGATTCCAAGCCATCAGGAGATTAAAGATTTTGTGCAGTGTAAGTTACCTACATTAAAACTGTTGGTGTTCAGTGGACGCAGAATTTCATGCTCTAAAGCTTTGATTCTATGAGCTTTTCCTCTTAGTGAACTCATTTCCAAGCTACAGAGCCATTTAGAGTAATTTATCTCAGCTTTTAACAAATTTGGTTTGTTTCGATGTCTGGGCGCAAAACATCCTCGTCATCAGCGCCTGATCAACCAAATAACACTACTTTTATACTGTTTGGATGGTTGGTACAGAAAATAAGAATAAAAAAAGGATAAAAATAATTTAGGATAAAAATAGTTTAATAAATAAATCAAATGAACTTTTACAATAAAATGAAATAAAGTAAGTAGATAAAGAAAATAAATAAAATAAAAATAATAATAGATCTGCAAAGGATCATAATTTATAAACTTGTCATATATGTTGTTTAAGTCTTTCATTATCTAGGAACTTGATTACTTTGGTAATTTTTTCCCATACTACTTAACCAGATTATTAAATTTAAACACTGGTTGGACGCACAATTTAACGTTCTTTAATTTCTTAAAGAATACATGTTTCGCTTCGATGAACAGTTTAGGAGTTGTATGTTAAAAGATCGAAAAAAATATGACTTTTTCGGCTGTAAAAAGTTTTATCTTAGTTGCTCGAGTTAGAAATTTAGGATTTTACATGTTCAAACTCATATACATAACTTAAAAACATGACAACTTTTCTCACATATTTCGTGATATATTTCCCGCTTCGATATTCAATTTACTGGCCAAATATTCTATAATTTAGTCGCCATTTTTGAAAGCAGCGGCTCTGGAATGGCCGACAAGATTCACTTTACTTAAAATAACATACACTTTCGTGATTTACATCTAAACCTTCCCCTGTGATAAGCTCGATGTTTGGGCCCTGGCTTCAGGGATATAACTTCAGTTATCAGATTGTCTGGCAGCGCGCGGTGCTGTGCACATGCGTTAGTCCTCTCGGCCATCTCGCCCCTTGACCAATCAATATTGCTCCAAGTTCCTAAAACTAAATACTAAGGTCAAACATTCTTTCTCAATTCGAGCATAAGCTACTATTCTAGGGGCTTGTGGTCCACCCGCCTACGGTTTTGTTAGCATTCCCCAATAAATATCGTTCAAATTTTCTGAAACCAAATACTATAGCCAAACATTCTTTCTAAATTCGACCATAAGCTCTTTCTATTTTAGTCATGGTGTTGGACTTATACGTAACTGGTCATCCGTCATACATAAGGCACGTTCCATGACCATATTGACTCGTACCGCATGTTATAGGTCTGTTGAGTTCGAAGTGTTTCAGAGCGGGTGGGTTGGATGCCAAATAGATCAGTTCTTGGAAATCAGGTTCATCTCAACAGTCCGGAAATCTCAATTAAGTATGGAATAACTTTTCCAAGATAGTTGATAATATCTAGAAATTTAAGCAATTCTTTCTTTATTTTAGGAGCCTTTGAGTTTTGAAGTAACTCCCAGCTTCTCTTTTCTTCTAATTTCCTCTTTGACTTGGTCTCCTAAGGCTAATAGGATCCGCCTAGGAGAAGCGACTAAGGGCGAGACCGACGGATCTACGTGGAGGTCATATGTACTCGGGAAGCACCCCAGACTTTTTAAAGACATTGGAGAACAAGTCGACTAAAATACGCTGGTAGCCTTCTATATCTCTTCATTCGGTATCAATAAACCTAATTTCAATCATTTCTTATCTACTAGAAGTGTGCCTTTATTTTATTTGAATCATTTAACTGTATGCATCGAATTTAAATGTATGCATCCTTTCTCCGAAGTGTCCTCTGATTGTTAATCATTCCAACTAACGCGAAGAAGCAACCCATAGAAACATAATTACGTATCGCTACTTCATAGCTTTATGTTTTTTTTCTTCTATTAAGTCTTTTGAAGTATTTAGATCTATAACATCACAGGTTGCTCCAAAATCTAATTAACATTTAAGTAATTTGATTTCTCCTTGATTTGAACCCCAAGATCAAGAAACAACTATTGTTAGCCCTTAAAAGTTGGGCTTTAAATTGGCTCTCCCGCATTATCATCATCAATTTTTCATTACCTGTTGCTTCGTCGGTCATTTTCCGAGCCTTCCGCTTAAAAAAGACCCTACAGAAATGTTTTTCTCTTTGCATTAACTGCAAATACAGGACGGTAACCAGAATTCTTCCCGTGTTCTAGCCCAAAAAACCTATAATGTACCGTCACAGATTTCTTTCCAGTCATCTTATTGATGACATATATATGTTTGTCACTTATGTTTCAACTTTTGCTTTATTTTTTAGGTTAGAAATTAAAAAAAAAAATTAACCCGTTTCTATTTTATATAATGATTTCATAACGTAAATGGTTTCATCTCATCGTAAAGTAGAACTATTTTATTTACGAAAACTCTTGGAATTGGGGCGTTTTCAATCTGGAGGGGGGCAAACTTTGTCTATTTAATTAGGTACTAAAAACTCGTAAGTACCCATTTGCTTCCTACTTGTATCGTAAGATAATTTGATTACAAAATCGAGAAAGAAGGGAGCCTTCAAAAATATTGAGCCGTTTTACATAAGCTACACACCAACATTTTTGAAATAACGAGCTCATATAGGCCAAACGAGACAATATTTTTTTTGGCATATTTTCTATAGATTTTTTTCTATATTTTCTATTTCTAGCTTTAAAAAAAACATGAAATCTAAAAGTTATCGGTGTCAGTTATAAGTTCAGCCTTCCGAAGGTCACATTAAAGTTGAATTTGAAGAAAATCCTGAGGAGTTATTAAGGCTTTAGTTGGCGGACGGAAAAAAATGCAATCAAGAAAATCAACTACTAAAAGTTGCATTTTTTTATTTACACAACAATTCGTATTTAAGAGTTTTAAAGGGCTCTAAAAAGGAATCTAATTTAATTTTGATAACAAAAATTTACTTGGCCTACTTTACTGGAAATGCCTTTTGGTTTTTGTAGTTTACGATATGTTTCAACTCATTTAAGATAATAGGTTATATTTTTTTCTGCACAAAAAAAGTAAGCGATTCATATATATTGCAGGAAGTTAGTCAATTGTTCTATTGGGTTGGCAAATAACTCCTTTCGATTTTTCAGGGTGAAATAAAACTTTTATATACATACAACTTATTTTAATCTACAATACATTGATCATTATTTAATATGACTTTTTCCAATCTTTGGATTAACTGCATAATGCTATGTTCATAGAATGTGTGGAGTTTATTGTTATAAAACTTATCCAAGCGGTTCCTAAAATCTTCCTTTTAGGATTTCTTTCCATTAATGGAGTTCTGCAAAGGCTTGGATAAGTAGTAGTCACTTGGAGCTAGGTCTGGTGAATAGGGAGGGTGTGTCAAAAGGTTCCATCCAATCCCTTCAGGATGTTCTCCAAATTCGATGTTAGTATATCCGTTGGAAAGCTGAATTATTGCTCTTCAAAGCCGTGTGAATGTTTTTTTTAAATTTTGATTCAATGCCTACATCAGGAATAAATAAACAAAAACTCCTTATAGGTTTTTATCACCATTTGTAGTTTGTTTATGAAGTTGACCCACAGACTGTATTCTCTCCTTGTTAGTTAAACATTTAGCTCATATTTCATT